ACCTGAGATGTAGTGGAAATGAGTGCATGATCTGTCTTGACCTCACAGATTATAAAGTAAAAAGATTGCAAAAAGACACTGTCCCACCTACTGCTTAATATTGAATATTCTCTGCTTGATATAAACTAATAAAAACAGCTCATTTTCATCTGTAAATATCATCTATTAAATATTGCAATAATCCTGCTGTACCTCCACAAAGTCTTCTAGACTGACAGTATTTTCTCCACTGAAATATTTATCCTCTAACCATGTGGCTAGCTCCACATTAAGAGCCTTCCACTTCCCATTCACCTCCACCTCCCAAATGGTTGGAGCAGACGACAGACTGACAAAAGCAACCTCCAAATACTGCCTGTAAAAATAAGAAAACAATTCCGTTTTTATATTATATGTAAGATTAACTTTTACATTTAAATGATATATTTAGGGAAAAAGCCAATTTTGTCTTTTAAAAGAAAACTTAAACATGATTGATGAAATGAAATATAGGTTTTAAAAGACTTACTTATTGATCAGGGACAATCCTACGCCATCTAAGGACAAGAAGAAAGCTAATGATGCCTGTTCTGCCTCATTGGCCTGTAAAAAAAATTCAAAATAAAACTTTTACCTAATTTTCTTATTTGTGACAGTAACTTTGTTGAGATTCTTCATACTTTAAAAAATCACATGTAGTGATTCAAAATTGAAAATCCTAAATCAAACATGTAACAGTAAAAAAAAAGACAGGCATAATCATATGCCATTGACTACAACTTATAGAACATTAAAATTGTTGTTATTTTTACAAACCCACACTAGCAAAATCTCAAAGATTTTCACTAATGCAAATCACTTATCTTTGTTTCAAGGCAGGAAGGCAAATTCTCAAAAAAAACTTCTTACATCATGCTAGTTGGTAGGGCAATAAAAACTGGTTTATTGCCAAGCCAATCAAACACACTGGAACTCTCAAAATTGAGGCAAATGCAAAGTACAAACTGTTGACTAGTAAGCATCTCTTGGTTTTAAAAAGGCAATAGACTTAAATTTCACATACAAATAAGTTGAAAGGGTTGGCATGCCGTGGAATTGTTGTGGACTTTGAGGCAAATTATATTGGTAAACTCTGACAGTAACTTTTAATACACTGCACTGTATGTACATATTTAACAGGTGGACATTAGGGAAGGCATGAAGCACAGCATATTTTTTTTACCTCCTGTATTGGACGCAGAATTTTGTGAACCTGGTTTATTTAAGAAGTAAAACTGTGAAAGTGCTCTAATACAACATATAAATGTGGAAAATTATATGTAAACTGTTGAAAACTAGACAAAAGGATCAACAACCAAAAAGAAAAAAGGCACTGAAGTTTAAGTAACAAAAAAAGCATAATTAATCAGGATGCTGGAATAGATGCTAACATTTCAGGAAAGAAACTAGATTTGTGTTTTCCGTGAATATCTCACCTTCCTAGCTTTCTTGGCAATCCTCTCATCCTGAGTGAATAGCAGCACCCTCTGTAGGCCATCCAGGTAGGACACCCAGAACATGGCCACTTTGTCTGTGCGTGTTCTATGAATTAGGGGGAAATCAACATCATCCAGCTCGGTATCATCTGCAAGACAGCAAATTTGATGAGTCTTTAGACATCTTTTAATAGATACTGATGTTAGTTAAAACTAAATACAGAATGTTTCTATATGACTGAATATACATTAATCTTTTTGCTCTTATACATGTACATGTAATATTTACTTGATTTCAAATCAGCATTTAGTATTTTTTTAACAATCTTTCAAAATTCCACTATCTCATTTTTCTCCATAGCAAAACATTCAGTTTGTTTCCCTACAGCAGACTACACCTGGTGTAGCTATTTGTACCTTCTGGGCTGCTGCTGTCCACTGCATCTCCGGAAGCCCCATTGTGCCCCTCACTGCTGTTCCTCACTGTCTGGACATCAAGTTTGACCTCTCCATAACCATCCTGGTAATACCATCAACACCAAATGTTGAAATGAAAACTAACAAGTGTATTTATACAAGGCATGAAAAGTATCTTTAATCATACTTGCTATGTCATTATTTAATTGAACCTTTGAAGTCAAATAAATTTGAGAAAAAAATTTTCACAAAATTTACTTTGTTGTGAATATTGTAAGATCTGAGTCTGTTACATACTGTGGTAATTATTGCCTCATATCCACTCCTCTTCCTATTATACAGATTCCACTGAAGAATTCTGGGAGCTGTGGGGTCGTCCCAAGTGTAAAGCATGGACTGGTTGGCAGACAACAGTAGAACCTGGCTCTGGTCCCTAAAAATACATTCTTACTGTATTTAATACACAAAGACAATGTTTATTAAGACATGACATCACTATATTATAGTTTAACAGTGGCATATGACAACCATTCAACATATTGACATACTGGCAGTAAGGATACTACTGTACATGTACTTCATTAATTTCAATCATAAGTACAGTAAAGTGATTGTATTACTAATTACAATAAAAAAGAAAGGGATTATACAATATACAAAATACACAACACAAAACACAACCACAAACTGACAGAGAGATGGTTTACTTTTGGTGAATCTTGAGGAAGACATCCTCACAGAGGTTTTCAATTCTGACTGGTGCATCTCCTGGTCTGTAATCCTGGAATGTTACTGTTTTGGGGGTTTCTGTGCCACCAGATACCCCCACTGTGAGGGCAGTCTGGAAGAAAAACAAGCATTCAGCCAACTTCTCACATCTCACGGAACTTAACTGCTGCAAGATAATGCATCTGGTTAGTCACTGACAATATGATATCAAATGTTTTTCTTTTCATTTTACAATTGTCTACTTGTCTTATCTGAAATATGGTATTTTCACTTAGAAAGAACCAAACCTCTCCCTTTACCCCTTTGCTCATCCTGAGTACAGTTGTGCATGTCTGTTTGATACTGAAGTAGAAGGAAGACACGTTGCTGTCAAGGTACTTCACTGTCAGCTTCATACTGTCTGTTTTGGGCCAGAAGGCATGGCACTTAATAAGGAAGACAAATACATGATAATTGCTTTTTTTTTGGCATCTCTAGGAATTCTTTTTTATAAGACTTTACATAGGGTATGTTAAAATATTGTTTAGCATCAAATTATTCTCATTAAACATATAAGTAGTCACCAACTTCTAAAATTATCATTAACTGTTGACAAGGTGTCCCATTGTGTTACAACATGGTCTTCAAATATATCAACAATACTCACGTCTCCTGCTGCAGCCTCTATCCACTCATCTTCTCCGCTGGTTTGTTCCCTGTACTTCAGCGCCATCTGGGTGCTGTTCACCACCATGAAATATGGGGTCAAGGTCACAATCTTGGTCAACTTTAACTGTGACAGGCTAATCTGGAGCATAAACTGCAAGAGAAGACATACTGTGAAAATCAGTTAACAATAATTCATGGTGATATTTCTTATAAAGTTCTTGTGTGTGTGTGTGTGTGTGTGTGTGTGTGTGTGTGTGTGTGTGTGTGTGTGTGTGTGTGTGCATGCGCATGTGCTCTTGTGCACGCATTCTAANGTACACATAGACAAGTATGTGTGTGTATGTGTGTGTGCATGCGTGTGGGTGCATGTGTACACACAATAGCACTTGCAAACACCTTTAAAATAAGTATAATCATCAGGGGTTGTATGTAGGTTTTCATACCTGATATTTTCTCTTTGTTTCTGGGTCATTACAAATGACTACTCCACAACTGCCAACTGTATCCAGACTAAATGAGGATGACCACTTGGAATTGTAAATTCGCATACGGACCTACAACACAGCAAACAACTCTGTTATAACAGTATCATACTAATTTATACAATCAATTAGTTATATTCTGCTGATCCTATACAATTAGTAAAATTAAGAAAAGTTCTATGCAATTTAGGACCTCACCTTCTGTCTCTTGTATTTCTTGTACAAGAAAAGGATGGGATCTGCACTGACATCATTCTCAAACACTGCATCTGACCCAGAACCCTGTAAGATATTTTTTCTTAAAACTCAATATGTTATTTATGAAAACTATGCATGAATTAAGAAACATAATTAATAGAAGACAAAATATTACAAACAAACATATTTTTTTTCTGTATATTATTATGTAATGAAAATAAAGTAGTGCACATATCTTGATCACAGCATATACTGAGTAGTTAAATACTATTACCAATCATTTGGATATATAGACTTCCTTGGAAGTTAGATTTTAAAACTGTTCAAGTCCATTTGGTGCTGGCATAATTAAAATCAGTCTTAACTGACCAAGTGTCAAACAACCTATATTGTTTTGCATCTCTTTAACAGTAGCTTGTATTACTGGACATAAAGGAGATATAAAAGTATGTACCCTGAACTGCACTGGCAACCCTGTCTTGTTGATAATCCAGTAAGGAGAATGCACAATCAGATCTATGTTGTTGATTTTGTTGGTGAAGACATTGAGAGCAAGCTGCTTGGGTTCTGCATCAACTGTCTTCACATCTGTCTCCATGGGAACTAGCAAGCTGGTCTTGGATTGGCTGAAAGTATCCTTGGATATGTTCAAGCTGCCATTCCACTCTACACCCTGATAGTCTGGGAGCTGAAATTCAATACGTAAAATAATATGTTTACCATGTTTACTACAGATAATTACATAAAATATAAACAAGCAATATATAATAAGCAATTTTTCAAATACATAGCTTATGTGTTTATCAATAATATTATGATATTTGAACATTAATTAATGCACAAAAATGTTACGCAGAATCTGATCCTTTCCATTTCTTACCTGTATCTTAAGCTTGTGAGTCACCTGCATATCTACAGTGTTCACAGGTTGAGTCTCCCCAGGGGCCACACTGGTCAACTGCTCACTCTGAAACAAAACATGGAGCTCAAGATTTAAAAACTTATAGTTATGCTGCATTTTAAATAACTGTTTACAAAAAAACTTGCAAATACACCAAAATGTACATGTACTGTAAATAATACTTGCTAAATACATTGATCACTTCATATCAGCCACAAGTGTATTTATAAATAAAAATTCTTATTTCTTCTGTCCAGCAGCATCCACCCACCTCTCCCACAGAGTAAGTCATCTGATATGGCAGGTAGTTGTGGATCACCAGAGGAGAGTCAAGATGGAAAGTGTACAGAGGGACAGAGTTCACCAAGGCTTCATCTTGAATCTCTGGACCACAGGGCTTGCAGGTGATCTGAAACCAAGCCAGACAATTGTTAGATCCGAGATCAATTATAGTGGCAAAATCAGCAGTGTGCCACCTCTTCTGAAATCCTATGATTAATACCCAATCCAATATGGTACACTGCTAAATACAGTCTTAAACATATTCACTGTATGTCAAATCAAATCATTATAATATGACACACACTGTGCCTAACATGACACATATACATCTACATTCATATAAACAAGATGTAATAAATGTTAAAATGTTATGATCTATATGATTTTCTAGATTTGATGATTAATACCTTAATATAGAAAGCCTCTTCATTCCCTTCTTTAGCTAAACAAGACAGGTATTTTGTGCCAATTTTCTCATTTGAAGTGAAGTCTTTCCACCACAGCTCACTGTAGGATCTTTGGAAGCTTTAATATAATTAGATATTTGATGATCGATATACAATTTGTGGATCTAGAAATTAATCTAAAAACTGTAGCACCTGAAAACGACACTGCCCTGCTTTTTAAAAAACTTAATTCTCAATCACATGCTAACATTTTATGAACAACTTGTAATACTTCTTACAGCAACAAAGGGTAAGAAAATTTTTTGAAAATTCTTTTCTTTTCTGGTTTTAAAAATAAATCTCATAACACACACAATTTATCATGTGATACCCATACTTACTTTGAGGCTGTAGGCTGTACAGCCAGTTTACAGTGGTATGCAACATACAATGGCACAAAGAATTCTGCATCAGGAGCTACCTCAGCTAGCTTGGTATACTCTTGGTCACTAGGTGTCACTCCAGTCACGCTGTGTGTCTTCAGATCCTCCGTCTTACATAAGATGTCTACTGCCACTGACATGTGGTTCCACAGCTGGGGAGAGAGATTAATGGGAAACAGATGAACATGACATTTCCCTGATGCTATTTTATATGATTGTCATTAAATACATTTTAATCAGTAATTTATTCTTTTTAATCAGTTCATACAATATTATCTTACTCCAAAGGAAACATAAATTGCAACTTACTATGAACAAAATTATCTTACTCCAAAGGAAACATAAATTGCAACTTACTTAAATAAATTAAGTATTTAATGAAAATTTGGAATTTTGACACTGAAAAATTGTCAAAATGAAATGTTCCTACCTTGAGAGGAGATTGTAATATAACCTCCTTTCTTCCATAGTTGACATTCACGTTGTAGACTGCACAGTACACAGTGTTGCACTAGAAAGCAAGAAGAACCGGTAATTCCATGTATGCCTAATAAAATACAATCATATTCAAGTTGCTTTGCCAACAAATGGCATAGTACTTTATTGCATGTTGTATTAAGGTTTTTTTAAAGAAATTAATTGCAAAAAATGCATTATCATAAAAAAACAGCCGCAGTTATTCTCAGTTTGTGTATTTCCACATACACTAAAATACTATATACATGTACATGTACATGTATTTATATAATTTCATTAAACAACCATACCTTGGCAGGCTTAAGTTTCAGCAGTTTTAAGGTGTCTCTTCTGTGAAATAGATTATACAAATTATCAAACCCCTCCAGCTGGAAAAAATGAAATGGCACATTTGTAAATTTCAATTTTGTTAAACCAAAACAACAAATTCTCCAATATAATTATTAGAATTTATTGTTATTTCTTGGAAAAATGAAATCAACCTGAATTAGCATCTGTTTAGAAGTTAATGACAGACTGTACAACAATCTATAGGCAGTCACCTTGACATGGAGCTCATCCTCGCTCAGTTCCAGATGGATAGGCTCATCCTCCTCACTTCCCTGAGGAATAAGTGGCAGTCCTCGACTAGTTACACCAGCAGCTGCCATGTTGGCTGTCTTAGCTAGAGCATTAGCCAGGAAACTAAGACCATCAACATCATCAAAGTCTTCATCATCCTCAGCGTCCCTAAGACAAAAATGATTTTTTTCATATTCTGAAGATACATGTAAGTGGACAATATTAAAACTTACATAACAGTTCACCTACATGTAGCTAGCCCAAAGTCTCTTCTTAATATTAAAATTTCAGTGTATATGTCACTTGATGAAGAAACTACACAAAGACAATTAATTGTCTTTAGTGAGGGGTATGAAATGATCAAATGTGAAAAAGTGAAATTGATTAATATACAACTTAATTAAGTGCATTACAAGACTTTAATAATCTTTAATGGCTGAGATATGCCAGTACATACATTTCATGCTCCTCTGTCCATTCACTTTCATCAACATCTACAGCTTCTTTTGTTGTCTTCACAGAGCACCCATGAGCTGCACTGCTGCGGATCTAGAATTAATATTTTAACTACTGTTTGTGTTTTCTCAGTTTACTGGTTATGTTCAGATGAAATGTTATTAAACAATATTTAATAAAATAATCCTTACAACATTGAAATCCTTTCCATTAGTATATAATATACAAATAATCAACTAAAGCTATTTTCAAATTACATATACTATTCTTGATCAGTACCAGTATTTCAATCTAACTAGTCCTACTAGCAGCAGAGGATGAAGTTTTCAATTCTTATCATGAAATCAATCAAAACCGTTCCTGTACCTTTATTTTCTCACTAACAGTCACTTCCACTGGCAGACCGAGATGGTTGTACACTTCAAAACTTGGTTTCTTCTCTGCTGATCTCAGCAAGGTTTGTTCTTCCTTCATAAATGCCTAGAAAATGTTTAAATATGTACTGTTACAGTAGCCAAAGAACAAAAAAAGACAAAAATTTCCTTGTTAGAGACTGGAGATACCTATCCAAAGTCACGTTAGTAAATCAAAATAATGGAATAATTTTAGATGGAGTCTTTTATCAGCCCGAACCTAGCTATGGGCATGGGTTTCTAGAAATAACACTTAAAACTTTAATTTTATATTTTAATTATTGCTGAAATTGTATTTCAATTTATATTAAAAGTTTAGACCTAATCTTCAGGGAATAATTACGTACTATATCACTAGTTAGAAACATTACCAAGCATCAACAGAGCTTAATACTGTAATGTATAAAAACCAGCCGTCATTACCCCAGCAACATCCTTGATTACATTCATAGCAACTGGCGTAAGATTGAGCAGAAGTTTGTCTTTTGAGTTGACGACCATGTATGTACACAAGTTCTCTTCTTCCTCCTCACCACCTCCTGTATAATCTACCTCATCAAACGTGGCATTCTCTGAAAAAGGCAGTATTTAGATGATATAAAAACTTATTACAAATATTCCATGTGTAAATATGAATTTCACAGGTTACTTAAAATATTACCAAGAACTGTGAGACTGAAAAGTATTTGTCATCTGTCTTAATACACAATGGACACTTAGTGATATATATGAGTTCCTACAACTTTTTTTTTTCAAATTTCCATTCCTTCATCAAGTTATTAATTGGTAAAAATAGTTGCAAATTTGAACTGCAACCAAAAAACTAAACACTAAATTATGAAACAAAACTGGGTGATATTTTAACAAGTGAAATATACAAGTTTCAGAGCTGACTGGCAAACTTTTAAGACTTTAAAAATTTCTAGTTGTTCAATCCATTTTAATTTATGAAGTAGGAATTTATATTGGTATCAATATTTAGCGATGTTCTTATCTTTATCATTTAGTAATTTTATCTGAATAAACTTCAAAATTTGATCAGTGTACACAATTTGAACTAACAAACTAGCATGCAAAATATATTACAAATATTTTTTGAAAAGGTGACTTACTTCAGAAGTAGTAGTATGAGAGAATTATAAATGATAATACAAAATACTCTACAGTAACTAAATGACAATAAAAATATAACAGAAAAAATTGGCATTTGTAAGAGCATAATAAAATAACAAAGACATGCATAATAAAATAACAGAGAACACATAATAAGAATAATCATATGAAAAAACTATCATGCATTCTTAAGTAGTGACAGTAGAAGAAAACAAAACTATAAAAATGTGATAATTCTTGAGGCATCTGAAAACAAAAGGCAGTGAAGATGATGCATCAACAACAACAAAACTAGCAAAGCTAAACTAACATCCAAACAACACTGCTCAGTCCTAAATACCAGAGTTAAATGAGATAGGGCCTTTGGAGGTAATGAAAACAGGATTGTGATAGGTTGGTCCAAACACATCATCTTCCTCTTCTTCCTCAATGTCACTGACATCAGCATCACTATCACTGCTGGTAAAGATACCACCCAGCTTAGCTGCTATGGTGTGCAGGAAGCTGTCAGACTCAGAAGTATCTGTGCTGCCATTCACTCTCTCTTTTGTGGCCTTTTCTTGGGTTGGTGGTTTTTCTGATGCATTAGAAACACCAGAGAGAGCAAAGGTAACTAAGAGTTAAAAGCTGACATAGAGCAGTTTAATGAAAATATTTAACAATGACTTTTTTTGTTATTTAAAAAGCCAGGCATCTTATACTGCTGACACTACATCTAGCACCCCACACCTATGATGTCCTAAGCCAACCTTCACCTCAATAACCTCAAACCCCAACCAAGGAGTTTTAACAATATTGTTAGAGCTCCTTGCCCAGACCATGCTCATCAGTATACAATGTTAGCAGTTGGTTTCAATAAAGGCTCTAGCTACAAGAAACAGATTCCTTTTACTTATCCTGCCTGGCACAGTCACACAGAAATCCATCTTTGGAGGTAGCGAGCACATTCAGCCAAAAGTAGTCAGTTTGGATAAAAATAAGTTTAACTTGATAGTGCATTTTTACAGTAAAATGCCAATTGTTTTATAATGTACATAGTGTTTCATATACACAGCTGATTTTTACAAAAAATAGTTTACTGAAAAAGTTATCAATACCTGGTTGTGCCTTCTCACTATCTGTCCTTGACCTTCTACTGGGCACTCGTGGTCGTATCACCCTCATGTCTGTCTCTGTGTCATTCTCCTCGGACTCTGAGCTGTCTGACACAGGCTTACTCCTGCACACCAAGTGACTCATCTCTCCATCCACAGACTCCCCCCAGTTGGCCGAGTTCTCATCATAGTTACATGAAATAGGGTGCGACTTGGCCCTAATCAGCTGTGGAGGAGAGAGGAAAGAACTGAGTGTTATTAAAAACGCATTTATTTGATGGTTTTTGGTTTATGATTAATCATAATTAAAATTGTGCATGTGTTCAGCATTAAGCAATAGGTGCAGGTGGTATCCTGTGATGGTAATAAGCTTCCAATCTCAGAAAAGGCTGATTCTGTTGTTAGCATAAAAGTTTAAGCAGCAATTATCCATCTAAATAATAATAATAATTAAGAATCATTGTACCATTGTTAAGTGCATCTTAGCCAATAATTTTTTTTTCATCTATGTGCAAATTTTTGGTGACAATTGATATTATTGGCAAATTTCTTATCAGCCCCTCACTCACTACTTGAGCCTAAAATGCCATTAAAAAAGCACTAACTCTCTTCAATAATAGATCACATTGATTTCAGATAATCACATTTATAATTACAAACCCACTTTAAATGAACACATGGAAAATTGACAAAATGACACTGTAGCATGCACATTATCCTCCAGTAGTTTATCTGGAATAAGTGTTGTATCATGCTCAGTTATATACAAACATGACTATGATCAAACATGTTCACACATAACCACACCCCAGACTAGCAGAGAAAAACTAAGGTAGTAAGACATGCATATGTACTGGCTGAAACACATCAAATTCGTGGTGCACTACATATGACATAAATGTCTAAAAATAAAATTACTACTCTATACTATGAGGATTATAAAACAACAACTAGCTGTACTTAAAATAAAAAATACAATTTCATAAATATATAAAGAAATAAAAATAAATAAATGCACCAGTAAATGCATCCAGGGGTTGAATGTTACTTGGAAATTATATTTGACCCCAAAGCAGGCTGGTCGTGACATTTGGTGTTAGATCAAAGCTGCAGTCACATCCAATTCTTTTGCTTCTATTTTTTTTTCAGTGTTAGCAAATTTAAACAGGGATTACATGTACTTATGCCTTGCTGGATTATAGGGCAACAGCCATCAGGGTAACCCCACTGTATTTTGCCACCTTTTTGGTTAACTAGAGAAGGAAGCCACATATAACTCAATCTGCACCTAGCTGGTGGTGACCTTGCCCACTAGTACATGTGTCTCCTCCCAGTACCTGATTTATAAAAGATCGTTCTAGCTCATCCTCAACATCACAAGCTATTGGATGACCTCTGGCTGCTACAAGCTGATAAAATAATCACATTTTTTTATAAAAGCAGTACGAACTGAATGAAATGAATTTTGCTCAACGCAGCTTGTATGCTTTTATGACTTCATCTCAGGAAGTATGGCAGAACTTAATTTACTGCTTGGATCTATGATCCACTGTTTGTTGACATTATCGTGAAGCATGCCAAAATGTCCTAATTAGGCAATCCAGTGTATCATATACATGTATGACATTGTAACATTTCCTTAAAATTGTTCATAGTGCAATACTTCACAGCCACACCCAAGTGTTACAAAACTGAAATAAACCATGCTCTACATAATAAAATATTACCTAATCATACACTATTTTTGGAAAAAAATAAACTAAGAATACAAATACATTTACATCATTTAGACAGAGACACAGATATACACAAGTTGACATAAAAGTAAACTATACAGAGAGTGGAGATATACCTTGATGAGGACTTCCCAAGGCCTGTAGACATTCTCTTGCTCCATGACAGGTTCAATGAGAGGTTCCCAAGTGTCCAACTTGTCACTGTAGTAAGCCATGTCTAGGTGACACTCGGCTGACAGTCTCAGCTACAGTGATGTAAGAAAATTATTAAAATCTTCTATTGCTAGCTATTTTTATTGTACTAATTGTTTTTGAATTTACTTAGTACAGTACTAGTACAAGATTAGTCTGATCAATCACTATTTTGTGATGTCATTTATACTGTTATCCACCATGCTGGAAAATGGAACACCATGCTTACTTATTATTTTCAAGCAAAATTTTGGCTCCACATAGGTTTTTTTGCATCAATTACACCATAACTCTACTAGTACTTATTTAACACAGAAGCATCAACTCACTACCCCTTTACTAACCTGCTTAGACCAGTCAAAGACCTCAGCCTCCAGTTTAGTTCTCAGACACAGCATGGGAACATGTGTGTCCAGGTTCTCTGCCTCAAACATCACCCTCACGTCCTTTATGTCTATCTTCAGGCTCTCTACGGGAGGGGCTTTAGAGGGGATTGGAAAAGATACCGTGCCTTGCATCTCTGGAGAGTAAAACCATTTTCTGTTGTGATGTACTAACAATACAGACTCAATAAAGTCAATGACTTACAACTCATAAAAAAGGAGACACTGCACTTTTTAAAAACTATTGTTGAAAATTGAATATTTAACCAGGGAAGGTAGTGCCCCAAAGGGAAGAAATTATTATACAAGAAGACACAAGTGAGATTTGACATTGTTTTACCAAGTAGTATTGAACTCATACCTTCATCCTGTAGCCACTTATCTTGTGTAATACTCTTCACCCTCCAGATGTCTCCCTGTGATGCTATGAGGGAGGTATCTTCAGTGTTTTCTCCATCCTATAAACCACAAAAAAAATTTTTAATTATCTCACTCTATAATTCATAGGTTCCCTTTTGAGTAATATTTTCCCTAGCATTTTAGCACTGGAATTGTGTTTTTCATAAAATAAATTTTGTTCAACAAAGTATTTTAGCATTAAGTTGACACTTCCAATACTTGTGCAAAAAAGGGAAAAATATATTTAAGATCTAATAAATATAAAACATTTTAAATTCATACCTTTTTCTCCTTGTTTATCATATCAATGACATCCAGTAGTATGTGCACAGTGCTGGCACACAGATGCAGGTCCACTGTGGTCATTATGGCAGACATGTCAACTGCACCATCTTCACCAACCTTCCTCAAAAACTCCATGTTGCAGGGGTGAAGTACCTATAAATTCAATATAAATTCATGTAGTTCTCTTCTTGAATCTTTATGTTCTGATGATATCTTATGGTTTTCTAAAAGGTCAACATGATATAATTTTTAACAAAACAATCTTGGAAAGAACATTATTGTGAAGCACTTGTAAAGCTTAATGTAATACACAAATAAGGTGTGCAGAAATAAAAATTTCAAAATCTCACCCTGTACTTGGTCCCTTTTTTCTGTCCATACACACAGCACACAATCTGAATATTTGAAGCAGCAGCAGACATTTCATTGTGGTCAACATCTGCATCATAATTCAGGGATATGTCAGTCTGAAACAAAGGATGTAGAGCATCTAAACAGGGCAATTAGAGTGACATTTAAGTACAAGACAGTGCTCTTTAAATCAAGCAGTTTCAAATAAAAATTTTATATCTAATGTCCACAGAAAATCCAAATGCATACCTTTAAGAACAACACTTTGCTGCAAGCATCTTGAGGACTGGCAAAGAGGACCACCTCCGGCTCTTTCACCCTCCCCCTGACTGTTAACTTGGACTTCCTCTGGGTCTCGGACACCTGTGGCTGTGGTACAGATATAGACATACTGCGTTTATATCTGTCATTACTGGCCAGACTGGAGTCACGCCTTGTCTGAGGCTCCTGGACTTTCATTGCGGCAATGATGAAGTTGATCACAGTCAGGTAATAGGGCATGCTGACATTAAGGCGGATTCTCTCAACCGTCATTTCAACTGAAAAAGAAAGATGCAATCTCATTTTTCCCCACCCTCAACAATGCATTGTTTATATTATCGGTTGTACTTCTAATAATGCACTTACCATGCTGATTGCCCTCGGAATCTTGCTTGTATATAAAATCTACCATGGGTACTGTGCTGTCTTTGGCATTCTCTACAGTCTTCTTGACTTTCCACAAAGGTAAAAACATCCTACAAATAAAAACAATTTATGCAGACAACTACTTCACACACCATAAGTTAATAACACAAATATATTTTATGCACTACTGAAATCTATACTTCATGTATGTCCAGTTATTGTACGTACATTATTTTATCTTTTTGTTCCACTTTTCGTGTTATCTCTGAAAGTGCACAGTGACATCAGCCACAATGACAGCAGTGACAACAGACATAGGTGATGGCTATAAGTACAGATATGATGTGTCTGTACATAAAAAACACCCTACCTTTTCACAGCTAGGTTACTCTCCTTTCTTGTGTCATCAAGTGAGACTTCCTGCAGTGTCACCTGGACATCGATGGCTTTGTCAGAGTAGATGGCCACTGTACCATTCAACTTGCCTACCTCAAATCTGGACAAGGAATTACAGTCATTCCCTCCCATTGGTAAGCCATGCTAAAACAAACAAAACATTTATGACACAATCTGATGAAAATCACTTGTATATTAAGTATAACAACTCAATGTATTTTACTATTAAATAAGGATAAGCTATCTATGGTATGCAATGTTTTAAGTGTTTATTCATACAGGCAACATCAGCTTAGATCTCAGTGAAACAATATGTGGTAATATTCACATACATAACTTATTATCAAGAAAACTTACACTCATTTCGTCATCCTCGTTGAGCAGCGTCAGCACCGTTCCCTCAAAAACCACATTGGCACTGATCTCTTTCTTCACAGTGTCACTGTTCCCTGTGACATCAGGCCCCTCGTCCTCCATCACAGTGTCCCCACTGATGACATCCAGCTCTGGGGATGTGGGTTTGGGTTCCACCACATCACTGCGGGTGACTTTTTTCTCTCCTATGTTTTTGTACAAGATGCCTATTGCTAGCTTCATGTCTTGCTGGCTGACATTGACCTTGAAAAGATTTGTAGTTGATAGTAACATCAAGTTCTAGAGGAATTTCGGAAACTTTCCCCTATCTTACAAATTCATCCATTTTTTCTACAGCAGCAAAAGTCATAAAAAAGAAAAGGATGCAAATGTTCATTCATGAGTGCAAGCAACAATATAAACTAATCACATTGGAGCTCAACATTCAATTTAATAATCAAATGCGTCATAGGAAAATTTCCAAAATGTTTGTTACATGTACATTTATCTATTATTTATCTTTATAAATGACCATTAATATTGTACATATCACTTTTTCTGTGATGTTTTTCCTTACAATAAAATTATTTACCTTGATCACTCCCATCTTCCCACTGAACTCATTGATGGTGTCCACTTTTATAGGCACAACAGCCTTCTTATAGTACACTGTCATACTGATAGGTTCCACTACAAGGTGCTGGAGTTCCACTGTGCTGTCTGGTTTCAACCAGCCTCTGAAAATGAGACAGTTTCATAAAAAGCAGTAAACAAATATCATAATCTGACTTTGGGTGCTGCCTGTATGAGCTTCAGAACAACTCACTGGATGACAAAAATCTTCCAAATATCTCGATCTATAAGCATGATGAATTTTCTGGCAACATGTGCTAAGATACCGGAGTAGATCATGTTAAAAGGTTCTGAAACTTCACAGGCTTCACATATGTTTTACCTATCAATCTGTACAGAGGTTAGATCCACATATATGCTGTCAAACACTTGGGTCTCCCCACCATCTAACGAGGTCTCCATGTAGCTGTTAGACAGTTTCAAATCTCCCAGTTTGGCTACAAACAGCTGCTGGGACTTGGAGCTCTCTGGCACCCAGACTGTGGGGGCCTTGATGTCAAACCTCAGGGAGATTCTTTTGCCTTTCTCAGTGAAGTCTTGATACTGTGTCTCTATGGCACCTCGGGTAGCTTCTAAAGCTGCATCTGTAGCCTCTGGGTTCAGGAAAGGATCCATAAAGCCCTGGAAATATGGTGTCGGCATGTTTGAATTCAAAGTGCATTGCCAAAAGAATTGAAATTTTAAAGATCCTGCCTCCAAATAGATACAAAAATCACAAAAGATCAATCACGTTTAAAATAACTGCAGTGTCTATAATCAAAACAACAACGATCAAACTGTTTCAGATTATGACAGAACTTACGATGAAAATCAGACATGTTTAAATATACATGTAACACAATATATAAACTTGAAATTGCAAGGCCAATATAGTAGTAAATAGAAGATGCTCAATGGATCCCAACTTACCCACAATTCTACTACAAACTTGTAGAGGAAGACCACATGCACCTCCCCTATCTTCAGCTGGACACCAATGTCTATGTCAGATGGTTTATACTGTGTATTATATAATGTCACCTGAAAGTTAAAACAAATATGTAAATGTATATATTAGCCTGTTCCATATGCTAGTGACAGTGCAACATATATCGACATACAGCTATATCCATCAGGTATGTGTGTTTGTTGCAGTTCCTTTTATCCTAACTCCTTTTGGGACACTTCATAATTTGAAGTCAAAACACTTACCTTGAAATCAAACACCTTGTCTTTCTCAAATGTCAGTATCTGAAACAGTAAGAGTACTTTTAACTCAATTTTACCCAAATACCGGTTTAAAATAACGTTCTCCAATATGCCAAAAATGTCATTAATTTTTAATAGATCTGCTTTTTTTCCCTTCAATATGGCAATCTTTTTGTGTTAAACAGTTTACAATATTCTACTCACCCTAGGGTACATGGTGGTGAGAGTTTTGTCATCCAAAGTCAAATTTTGCAGTTTTCCTCCAATGACTGTTCGACTTCTTTTCAAAACAATTTTACTTTCCAGACCTACAATTTATAAGTTTAAGACTTTTCACTACACAGATATGTTTCCTGAAAAAATTATAAACTATAAAAAAATAAAAAATATCACATAACATTTGTATGTCATCACACAAAACAAATAAGCTATATAACATGTTAACTAAATCTTAATAAATGTATTCACCATGTCAACAGTACAAAACAACACTTAGCCAGTAGCTAATATAATAAAAATAACTGCTATATTACCCTATGCTTACCTTTGATGTGTAAATCAGCCAGTTCTCCATCATTGCTGCACATGTTGATGGTCAGATCATCAAATAGTCCTGCTATGAACAAACTGGTACTGCCTGCTGGCAGGGCAGGTTCTGATAAATATACGGCAAAAAAACAAAAGATGAATTTCCAAAGGCAATTGTCAATATATTGTAACACACTGGGTGACAAACTAAAACAGCCTTTCATAGTTTTCCTAAATTTAACCAGATCTGTATTACTTCATTTTCCAGTAATATTTCAAATATATCATAAGAAATTAGTTGATATAAGGCAGGGGGAGAAGAGATTAGATAAAATGTGAATATTTGAACTGTACCAATAGTACACATTACCTTCTTTTTTAGTCTCTTTTGACTCTGCTACCTTAAAGGCATCAGTCACTGTTGGAGCTGAAGGAGATGACAGGGCAGAGTAGGTACTGGACTTCATGTCCACACTGGCCAGACTGGTCAGCAAGGCTTGAGTGAAGTTATACAGGTAGTAGCAGGCCTCACGCTCAAACACTATATTCAGCACTGTCATGTGCACCACAACTCCTCTGTGTATACTTCTATAGATGGCATCAAACTCTGGGCATTCTGGAGACACCTAAAGATCAGTGGATAGTTTAAAAGATTTTCCTATAACATAAAAGGGCAACAAACCTGTGTGAAATATTTGTTTTATAAATTGAAAAAAATTTACAAGTATGTAAGATCACATATCAAGTATGTAAAAGCACATCTTTCAAATAATTACCAACATTCAATAAAACTGCAATCTAATTTTTGAAAAATGTTTTGTAGATTAAGAGGCTTTCAAAAAAGGTGCCTCTATCACAGCTTACCTGTCTGTACACCACTGACATGAGATCTTCATTGAGTTCTGACTTGATGATCTCCATGTACTCTCCAGAAGCACCTGAACCAATACAATATATAACACATTAATAGCCAAAACAGGCAAGTGGGCATAGCACTTTAGTATAACACAGATAAAACAGTTATTCAATTTGAAAATCTAACTCTTAGAAAAAAAATTCATCTGATATTTTACCTGTCTGATTTTTATCCAAATCACTAGCATCTTAAACATCTCAGACAACAGCTTAATATTTCTCACCTGTATGTAACTTGTCCACCAGCTGCAGTCCCCTGAGTTTAGCATTGATAGCCAGCCCATACACTGTGACTGCAGCATCCGCCTGCAGTCCTGTAACCCTCAGCATGAGGTATGGGGTCTCTATGTCATCCACAAACTTGGATATGTTGATCACTACCTCGCGCATCTCAAACCTGATCAGGACAGTGATGATGTTGGTTGGGGAACTGTGGTCATCCACTGCTGGGACATCTATGGCTCTGAAGGGTGAGGCAGTTTTGTTTTAAAAAGCTGAGGTAGACCCACAGGTGTGTTCTAAGCATCAGCAAAATAATACAACTAGTTTTATCAAAAAGTTGCTTTCAAAACCAGCTCTGCTACGTAATGCAAAGACATCTTACACTGAAAATATGAGAAAAACCATTCTTTTCACTAACATTTTTGTCCTACCACTAGTTGAGAAAGGCTCATGGATATCATCTCGACATAAAATATATTTGTGATAATGCTTAATTGTATATATGACTAATACAGATCCTACTTTGACCATTCATCCATCTCTTCATCATCTGAATAATCTTCAGCATCATAGAACTTATCTGAAAAATAAAGCACAGTCTTTTCAATAGATTTGAAGCTATGTTATATAAAACTGAAAGCTGTATTTACCATGGCATAATCCCGTAACGAATTTGAAGCTAATAAGTACAGAATTATATGCAAATGATTAAGCAACCAGTCACTTAACATTACATGTTTACATAGATAAATTTATGTAAGTGTAATATCAGTACATAACAAGGAAAATGTCTTAAGAATGAAAGAAATGACTTATGTTTCCCTGCTTAGTTCCATACTTACCACTGGTTGATCTCCTGGTTACAGATATAACTGGTGTGGCACCTGCAGCCCCAGGTTTCTTCTTCTTTGGTTTGACCACAGAGTTCTTAGAGACTGAGCTACTCATCCTGATCAGTTCAGGGATACTGGGCTCCAGGATGGCATCTGTGAAGTCCTGAATGGAAAGTGATACAAATATGTATGAAAGTTACATTATTTACAATACTTTCTACTTCAGTGATGTCTTGGTTTGTTCAACACACTTGAGCCCACTTAAAATTCACATTAATGATTTATTATGACAATACATATTTGACAAAAGCCAGCTGCCCTTCTCCTTATTCTAGGTCTCTGTGTAACAAACTCTTTTTGCAGCTTTCAGGCCATTTAGTCACCTCAATTCCAAAAATCAAATTGCCATTAAAAACAGCCTAAATCAAGTACAACAACCCAAAATATAGAGAGTTGACAAAGAAAATCCAAATGTTGCAATCATCTCACCATATCCCAGGTCTCTATCTCCAGCCCGTCCACTGCATCCAGTAACATTGGGCTCACAGAAGTATTGGGCAGTGGAAGATTCTTGATGAATGTATACAGTGTGGAGATCTTCTTATCAGACAAATTCAGCGTAACGCCTGGGAGGTTTGCTATCACTTTTTGCCTGTGGGAAGGAAAAAAATACACATTTCCATTTTATAAATATCTATAATCCTTAAAAACCCTGCAAGGAAAGTGAAAGAAAAAGTTAATTTTGAGCTATCATCTTATTCAGAGGATGTTTATCATTTCAAGACATATCAATATTCCATTCAATTATATCTTGATTTTCTAATCAAATGCATTCACATACAAAAGCATTGCAGGTTAAGGATCTCTATTGTCCTTGTTACCTTGGTAACTCCTGATAATCTGGCTGCACTGTGTTGAAGAATGACATATTAAGTCCAATACTTGGTAAAATATGGAAATCAGAATCTTCCTTGGACTGAGCTGTGTGCCAGTCATCTCCTACAAAAACAATATCACTCTAAGATAAAATCTCAAACTTAATCAAAACAGTAAAATCCTTTATCTCATTTAAAATTCAACCTATTGATACATACATACATAAATCAGAGAAAAATATCATAAATTGCTTAGCATAGATAACATTTAGTCTTGATATAGGAAAGGAAAGAAAAACAGAATTTCCCAATTTCCTACCTGAATCTGCCAGCAAGATTTTCACTTTGTCAATATTGATATTGAACTTGTCATACAATCTGGTTTCCAGCTCTGTCCTACTGACATTCTGAAATAAAGATATGATAAAAATATGTATTTATGCTTATTATTCAATTAATGCATTATAAAGTTCAACATCAACACCAATCTGACAGGAGATTACTTATTCTTAAAACATATTATTATCCAAAAATTTAAAAGTATAGTATCAAATTCAAAACTAAAAAAACTTAAATTTGCTCTGAACAATTTCTCAATGCAGATACCTGCAGGTTCACTTCTTCCGGCTGCAGTTCACTCTCTATCTTCAGGGTACCAAGATCTACCACCAGAACATTACCTGGCCTGAAAGAATATATTTTGACAATCAAGATCATAACATGAGTCAAAGTTTGAATTAAAAAAGGACAGAAAGAGCAAATCTTTATCATTTAAATTGAATTTAAAAAATAGTATTCTCAGACACAAACTCAACCCATTTGCTCGGATTTGTGCATGAATGCTGAAGTATGTGCAATTCAGAAACTGGTAAGTGCAGTATGACATACTTTGCTGAGACACATTTGGAGTGCTAACAGGACATAGTTACCTATGCAATGTGCCATGCTCTGGTATAACCACATATGGAGACCTCATATCTGCAGATACATGCACTGTCTGAAATATCAGAATGCATATGAATTAGATGTACTAAAATGTAAAGGCAATTGGAGGATTTCATACAGTGAATGCTGCATTACAAGCTCTATAAACAACAACATACATTGACCATCTTGTTTTTGTTATGAACCTCATGAAACTTGTATTCGTATTCAAGGTAAAACGCTTCAATACCTGAAGCTTCAACATTTTTCACCTGAAAACTGGAAGAGGTTCTGATAACATCTCCATAGGATGCCTTACCTTGTGTCTCTCAATGGCATATTGTAGCCCTGCTCTGCTGTAAACTGCTAGCTGTTCAAAGTACTCCCCAGCTGCCTCTCTCATCCTGTTCATGGTGACCACTGGAGCCTCAAAGAAGCTGATAACCTCTGATATGGCATGCTGTGAGAGACAAACAAGAATCTCATTTTAACAGTATGCTTTTCACAATGGACATCATTTGGAAGACAAAGTTTTAAAAAAATGAATGTAATTTTTAACAAAATTGGCTTGAATTATGAGCAACATAGCACAATTCAAAAATTATCTTTTGTATTATTTTGTATTGATCATTCAATACACTAAAAGTGTAAAAATAACAAGATACCCTAACCAGCCCAATTTTAGTTTTTAGTATTGCTACATGTTTACCAATATTCTTAACAGCAATTAAAACCTGCATGGCACCAGTATCTAAACAGAACTAAGACTGGTGTCATTTCAGCTCTGACTACTGTTCTATCTGTAGTACCTCATCATAGACAACTTCCACAGGCTGGACATTGACTGCCAGAGCGTAGTCTGCCCTCACATGATATGGGTTGGAGTCAAAGTCCAAACTGAACACTTGGAACCTCTGGGATGGAGCTTCATCTGGAATGGACACATCATATATATCATCAATGGTTGTGCCAATAATAAGATAAAACTTATCGAGATGTATGCAGCAAACTGACTAAATTGTAGAATAATCTGCTGTTGAACTTTGCAAATTTGTAAACAATTCAGGTATATGTGAGCGCTTTCAAATGTGTGCGTCTCAAATCTGTCAGTACTTTCAGGAAAGAAACTGCAATTCTGCAATACATTTTAGATATGAAGGTTGTTTCTTTTAACAATAAAAGGGTACTTGTGTACACCAAAACTCACCAAAAACTCCTACATCTGAAGTCACCAGAGGGACCAGCTCATGCTCCACAGAGGCCCCTTCTATTTTGAATGTTTTGGTCTTCATTGACACCCTAAATATTGATAACAATATTAAATAGACAGAATTAAGAAGATCTATACCTTTCAGAAATAAAGCTTAAATTCTGACCTATTTACAACACAAAGAATACACAAATTACATGAGATCTACATGACAGAATTTAAATGTATTTTCAATAAACAAAAGCATTAACAGGACAGCCTAAGGCTTCGTTCACATGCAATGTCTATTTTCTATTTTCTATTTTCGGTATGTCTTATGATCACGGTCTGTGCACTGAATATCCCGCAGCGTAATTACTGGCAGCGCGAGCCAGTTACTATAAGTTACTATAAGTAACTGGCTCGCGCTGCCAGTAATTACGCGGCGGGATGTTCAGTGCACAGACCGTGATCATAAGACATACCGAAAATAGAAAATAGAAAATAGACATTGCATGTGAACGAAGCCTAAATCCTATATGAGCAATAAACCTAAAGAAGCATTTAAGAAGAACCTTCAGATAAAATTATCCAAGCAATTTGAAAATTATTTGACAAAGAAGTAAGAAATGTATCATTGTATTGTGAATTTCATTCAGGAAATAAAATAATCCAATCTCTCTAAGACTTGTATTTAATTTTTTTAAAATCAAGGTCCTTAGCCTACTATACTAGTATAACTTAGCAATCATGATTTTTACCCAACAATGTTTTCCAAGTTCTGCAAATTTATTTAAATTAACAGGATTTGTGGTGATTGTTTTTAATCTTAAGAGTTTCTAAACTCAAGCATCAATTTATGAAATTATCTACATGTATTGAATCCGATTGAGCTCTATGAATTATAATAATGTCATTGATCTATGAATAATATAATTATTCATTTTGGATAAGTGCTTTCAAGTGTTTTGTAAAGTGTGAGTAAAAAAGATTAATCCACTTTACCATATTGAAATAAACATTGCTAAGATGATAATTCTGACATGTGGATAATTTCTCATGCTGTGTAATTGTCCATTCATTTAACATTGCTGGTGCTGTTTTTCACAAGATTATGTAAGGCAAATGCGTTTAAGCCCCTTCATAAAGATAACTAATTGATATCTAAACCTGTCGCATGCATCACAAATTTCTAGCGAGAACCTGAAAGCATCAGATTAAAAGAAGATTAAAAGGAAAGAAATACAAAAAAGTTAAAAAGAATGGCTGTTAAAAAAAACTGAGAGGAAGCATTCAACTACAGTAGTCAAGCATAAAAGAAATACAATACAAGCAGACAGAAATTCCACCATGTCAGTACCGTAAGTGTTTAAATAAGAGAAAAACTTGAAGCAAAAACTCTATCCAAAAACAAACAAAATGCATAACTACCTTTAAGCTGGACAACATTAAACATAAAAATGATTCATTTCAACTTCAATTTAATATGAAGTATCCAAAATGGCAAAAATGTACCTAAAAGCTTCGTATTCTGGTCTGTTCTCAAAACTTCCCATCAAACTACCAACAGCAACTTTGAGAACATCTTTGCCATAGTTTGCCAAGGACAATGTGGAGCTCTTCAAGTGCAAGTTCACCTTATGGGCTACATACTGAAAATATGTATCAAAATACCACAAAAGAAATACAAAACTGTTAAAATTGACTGGTATTTCTAGAGGACTTTATATTTGACTTTTTAACAAAAAACACTCCAAAAACCTGAATGTTTTTTTTAACTCATCATTAATTGTTTACAAGACAAATGTATACAGCATTAACTTCTTCTGACAGGATTCTAATCATGGAAGTATGGTTTATAAAATAGTTATGACACTGCATAACAGGACTCAGATTTAAAATATGCAAAACATATGTACCTGAGGAGGTATTGGGACTGCAGCTGGCTGTGCAGGGTTATATCCTATTCCTTTGTACAGTTCTTCCTTTTCTTCAGGACTCAGTTTTGACCACACGTCTATAATAACACAATATGCAAAAGAACGGGTATACAACAATTAAGTATCAAGTCACTTGATTCAAATAAATAACAGAATACCAACTCAGCAACATGCCATAAGTCAAGAAACAGATACAAGTAAATATTTAACATGTTGATACATGTTGCTTCTTGTAGTTATATGGGAACAAAATTAAGATTATTCAAGTATAATAATAATCTGTACCTTTTTCATCAGTAATGATCTCTAATTCATCTTCACTATCTCCACTAGAACTCCACCAATCCCAGAAGGATCCAAAGTATCCCTTTTTCTTCTCTCTCTTTCTTGCTCTATCGGGGGCTTCCTGAATAAACTGTTGAGCAGAAAGTAAAGAGGAGATAATGTAAAGAACAATGAACTACACACATCACCTGTACTGACTCTGGTAAATCATAAAAATTGGTTGCACACATCATGTACAATTGTGTTCACTTTCATTTGTATCAAATAGTTTTTCAAACAAATTTCACTGTTTAAAATATCCTTTTATAATAAAGGCAAGGGGTACACAGCACCACCCTCTGCATATCAAAAAATGAACTTCATGTTTATGTGTAATGTAGAAATGCTTTTTCCCTACCTCTAACTTGGCATTCTCCCTGGCCAGAAGGATATTAGCAACACTCATATCTGCTTCCATTCTTTCTAGCCTTGGCAATATTTCCTCAGACTCTGGATTTTCCAGCTTCTTCTTGAACAGAGCTTTGTAGTCTCTGTACTGCTCCCTGGGGAAAGATATCAACAATACCCATTTTACTCATCTGGCTGAATTTAGTGTAACTCTCAGAGACAATCAATTTATCTTGGTCAATAATTATTTCTCAAAGCACATCTCCCAAATACCTGCCACTTAATCCTTTTATAACACATTACTCAAATAATAAATTGACACTTTTACCAGAATAATGGATATATTGTCTCAGCTTTTATTCATGCTTAATAAAACAAGCATTTAGAAAACTATAGCATTAGATAAATAAAACACAAAATGGCAACCTAAAAGAAGATCAATTTTCATTAAGCATGATTGATAGTAATCAAACTTCGATAAGTTTGAATGAAAAAGATAGGACAAATAAGGTCTTAATGTGGTAGTATCTTCATTTAAATTTGGAACATCTACTTCAGAATTTAAATGAAAATTCCATCTCTACCCTATACCTGTGTCTTTTTATTCTCTCCCATGAGAATGGTCTTATATACTCTTCCACCACAGAAGTGTAAGCATACTTCCACCATTTCCTAATATTCCCTTTCAGAGAGGCAGAGGGTCTGTACTTTCTGTATCTCTGGTTGAGAGCCATCAGTTTGAACGAGTCTGCCAGGCTCAGGACATTTAGAAACTGGAGAGTAAGAGTGGTGAGTCCATGAGCCAATCTACAGTGTGGCCAGCACATATACATGTACATATACATAAGCATACCTGGGGCATTTTAAGCATATGATTGAATATCTATTATTATGCAAGAAGCAAATTCAGCACCTTCTACTATTCAGCTATTAATGTGATAGGTTTTCCTTTTCTGGTGGAATGAGTTTTCATGTGTCATGAATGCATTTTCAAACTTAATCCAGTAATTATGTGGCACATCAAAACAATGTCCTACATTCTTACTTTTAACTAAAAGTCACTTCATAAATTATGCAGCTTCAAACCCTGCAACAGTAATTAAAGAATGCTTTCCCAATGAAACTATGGCATAATGTAGATCATTCCAACTCCTCAGGGGCTCTTGCTGAATGCAATCAGATTAACTGACTAACATGCTGCCTCCAGCAGCTGGGGGCTGATTAACTTTCCTATGTGTTCAGTTGCTTTCAAAATGAAATGAAAAAGCTTCCAGAAGCCAAGCAAAAGTCTCCGTGGAGTTGGATCAATCTATGTAGAATGATACCGTCATTGGGAATGCACCCTAAACAGCACATTTGAGTCAAGATGGTGATATATATATACTCTACCTGCTGTCTTGTTATGTCAACATCAATTTTGCCCAGCAGCAAGTCAACCAGCAGTCTTGGCATAGCTATGGTATCTGCCTTGTTGATCACAGCCCTCAGTTCTGCTGACATAGGCTGCATGACTAGGGAATAAAAAGTATACCTTTTGACATGACTTTTTTTATGCCATCCATATAAAACATGGGTAATAAGTTATGAAATGAATTTTTAAATGTACATTACTGGTGGGTCAATCACAAAAATTTAGTGTCATTGTGTCATTTTAAATAACTAATACATTTTTTCAACCACAGATTAAATTCATGTTTAAATATGTTATTAAAAAATAACAAAAGAAAAGTAGTGATTAGGGGATATCAGCTGAGGAAACAAAAATAGATGGTGTTAGTTACTATGGTTCCATAAAACTCTGAAAAAGGAGATGAAAAAAAGAAAGAGGACAGGTTTGGGGTAAGTTCAAAATTGGCATTAATCTTTTATGTAATAAGTACACAAACTTCACAAAAAGTGACAAATAATGTATAGAAACATATAGGTATAAAATTAAAGAAGTATTCTTATTTCAAGTTAAACACAAACCATTTCCCATGACATGGCAAAAGAATTGAATTTTCTCAACAATGTTTAAAAAGAAAATTTGAAAAGAATAGAATACAGCTGAGGGTAAAATTACAGAATATCAAATCAGAAAAAGAAAGATCACCAAAAAAGGTCCAACTCACTGTACTCAAACTCACTGTCATCAAATTCCTCTCCATAAATCCTGTGAGTGCTAATTGCATTTTTCATGAGATTCTGAAAAAATAAACAAACATCAATATTTCTAGAGAACTATAATGAGTCTAATAACATTAACTTATTCTTATTTGGTGCATTACATTAAAAAATGTGTATTAAAAATTAAGAGCTAAAAATAGGAAACTGCTTATTATAAGTGTCCAAACATGGGAATGGTTTGCTACCTATCACTGCTGCAGTACTTACAAACCAAATCTAGGAGAAAAATAATTTTATTGTGCAGGAAAGGTGAGCTAATTTTAAACAAGATCTTCATGTAACTAACAACCAAATACTTAACTCTTGCTTTTTTTAAACTTAATGCATGGCAATTACTCATTAAATTTGTTACTGTGTTTTTCCAAAATCATGTTTTTATAGTGATAGTTTAAAATGTCTATCCAAAAACACTAAAAAGTTAATTGGCCCCATGTCAGAAAGTGATTAAAATAATAAATGATGAAAAATTAAAATATCAATGTAAACAAATTAAGAAATTACAGTAATACCATCACAAAATCAAAAGAGATACTAATATCAAATGAGATACTGATATCAGAAAATCACCCAAACTGACCCCCTAACTAGCTTACCCTCCATACACCACTTGATATCTTTGACTTGACCAGTTTACTCTCTGGTAGATATGGGTTCCAGTATATAGAGAGGTCTTTCATCCATGCCAGCTGAATGAAAATAAAAATGTTATACAAGTATGAAAGGAAACATGATCAACACAAATTTTTACATCTTTTTAACCATCAGTTAGATTCTTTCATCCATGCCAGCTGAATGAAAATAAGAATGTTATAAAGTTTGAAAGGAAACATGATCAATACAAATACATCAGTTCAACCATTAAGTCAGATTTAAGAATAGCACTGTAAAAATAATACAAATATGTTATCACAACATATTATTTGATAGTTGATTTAAATATTTTCTTCATTGTAAGTGAATCCCAATTAAAACTGTTATCATGGACATTAAGAAAAACTGTCAGAGGGGAGGGAGACGGTCACACAACAGGAAAAAATCTTTCAGAATGATCAATACCAATTTGTCTTAATTATCACACCTTGTGCATGAGTGAAGCTTGAGCGTCAATCTGAGTGGGCTTCCATCTGTCGTCTGTGGACTCGGCAGACACATATCTTAGAGTTATGCCAAATGCAAATGGGTGGTCGGGGTTGGTGACCGTGTCTTCATATCTTACATGGATGTTTTCAACATGGACCTTAAATTTATCAAAATCCACAGAAAGTCAATGTTGATTGAGTGGGATAACATTTGGATTCATAGCAATACACTTGGATGCAATATGATTAGTATAATTAAAGTTGGCACTGTGCCAGCTATTTTTAAAAACTTATTGATTGCTAACACTGAGTATTTTGTTCTTCTTACACAATTTTAACCAAAGGCAATATAATTGTCATAATAAGTATAAACTCCATATTATCCATTCTCAGAGTACAAGGTATTTCTGAGAGCAATTTTACTAGAGTCATTAATGCAAGCAGATATACCCTAAAGGAAATGTGCATGTATTGTCACATATACCTGAATGTTATTGATGATTGTTGCTGCCAATTTTTCAAAAAATGTCTGATCACTTGCTGATGTACCTGGAAAAAAGCAAAACAAAAAATTATCATCTTTTTTAATAGGTAACTGAAGAACTCAATTTAAATTTGTATTTGGGTTGCAAATTTATTGAAACTATTACATTACACTAAGCTTCCATCCTAAAACCTAAGTTAAAAAAAAAACAGGATCAATCACTGTACATTATAACCTTAACATAATATTCAACAGAATTTTTAACAGAACTACCACAAGCCATTTACAATACTATCTTAGATAACACAGTGTATCTCCAGGAAGAGAGGAGGAGGGTATTCACTCTTACTTGCAGATGCAGACTTTCTAGCACTTTCAATTTCCTCCAGCTTTTTCCTCTTAATGGCATTCTGAAGAGCTTTTTCCCTGTCCTCATCGTACCCTCTGTCACACACAGGACCAGCCAGAACAAAAACATCTTCTACCTTGGCAATGACTGGGAGAGAGAACAGACTGCTCCATGGGATAACCAGGGTGATTTTACCTGGAAATTCACAAAGGCTACATGTATCTGTTACAACAGATGGTTATGGATACCTCAGGAAATGAAATACTGAACAAACAGAAAACACTGCTTCGTGAAAGAACCATTATTTTACCTGGATGTTGATGGAGTATATTTTTAATAAACGAGGTAATAAGCACCTTTACTTATGAGACTGATAGGTTTTTTTTAAGAGAAAGGCATCTACAAAAAGTATATCCAAGGTGACAGATATGCATCTTGGATAACTGATTTCTTTTTCATGAGAAAAAAAAGAAAGAAATGGCCAACTAATGAAATCATTCAAAATGTTTTAAACTCTATCACAGAGTGCACTGCATTGTTTCATTGTAAGCTATATACAGCTATAAACACCATATAAAACTGATCACTTCTTGAAGAAGCAAAACACCTCTTCTATAAAATTGCCTTCAAATTTGACAAGTATTTGCATTAATATTATGGGCATCAATCAAAGAATTAAGCTCACCTATAGTCTGCTGTTTTATCCATATGTCAATGTAATGGGTTTGTTTGGAGATCTATATAAGTATTACCTTCAGAACCAAAATAGATATAGACAGTATTCCAATAAATGCTTAATGAATGCTTAAGGGAAAACAGTGACTAGCTTATCTTGAAAATCATACAGTAATTTCACGTCTGAAAGATATTGTTAATTGAATTGACATTTAACTGATCCCTTAATTTGTTCAATTTAAAAGGGACATGTGCATTATGGCATGACTGGATATGGTCTCAAATGAGCACAAATGCTTGGGATATAATCAAATTACATATTTGCAAAACAAATCTGGAACTGAATTCCCTTCTACCATACATAGGGCTTTAGAGATTGCAAAGCCAAATGATTTTTTGATGTTGTGGATGATGTTATGTTTATTATCTCAATCCATGTTCATTCACATGGGGTCTGTGTATATTCTGATAGGCAAATTTCATCTTTTTCTTTGCTAGATTACTGAAACTTCATGTAATTAAAATTAAATACTGAAAAATTTGATTGTATTGATGTATTTCTTCACATAAATACAAATAGTTAATATATTTTCTATTTACTTTCTGAAAAGGTAAAACATTTCCTGTCTGTGAAAGCAAAAAGAAAAAAAAAGCTGTATGTCTGCATTCTTGGTTAACTTCTCTTGTCCAGAATGCATTCTGATTTGTCTTTATGGCAATAAATTGGCTGCTAAATGGAGATTTTATGATTTAATTATCTATAACAAATGAATATCATCTGCAAGATACTACTTGTGTGAAAAATGTTAGTTCAGAATGGCATTTAAAACTTCCAACTGCATTCAATGTATAAACTCTCCAGCTTTCAGTCATAAGAGGAATTCTTTTTAGATGAAAAAATACCTCTTCATTGCCATATATGTGAATGAATTTGGTGTGTTTTAAAACATTCAATCTTTTTCTTGTAGCAGAAAAACATCAAAAATGTAAGATCATGACTGGAGCAACCTCCTGGAAAAAGTTGGCAATTTTGAATCCATGAATTGAAAGATGAAGTTGGGAATCAATACAAAAGTGTCAAAAATGAGAGGAAATTCCATCTAAATGGATAATTTCTTGCCAAGAATTTCCCTGCTGTGCCTATAAATCCGTTTTAATATGTTACTCACCAATTTCTGTGACAATTAAGTGTCAAATAACCAAAATTCTAAATGATAATAACAGTTCTTTTTAAGCATTTGTAGTCTTAAAATGACATTTTATAGAATCTCTGGAAAGGTTTAATCACTTAGCAAATCTGAATCAAAACCAAACCCTTGATTTATCTGCTTAGGTAATTACAATAACTCACCAACAAATCCTGCTTTAACTTCTATAGGTAACTCTAACTCATACTGAAATTAAAAATGAAGCAATCTGTTATACGCCTTTATGCTGATAAATAATACAATTACAATATCTTTGAATTATTTTTGCTGCACTAGTAGCAAATAAGTAGCAAGAACTTTTCAATTTTCTTAGCTACCTCACACTGAGCATAACTTAATCTCTTTGTAAAAATATAATTCAATGCATCATTATATACAGTTCATAAATACAGGTCAATTGGTCTCCTGTCAAATCATTCCCAATTTACATTTTTTTTTACAAATCTCTAAGTTGGCAAAATGAGTTAACATATAACAATTCACAGTATGCTCTATTTTCAGGCATATTAGCAATAAGCCCATACATCGAGGTATTGATAAATACAACAAACAGGTGTAATGAGTTCTGAATCAATCATTATAGTTCATTATTCAGGCCAACAATCATGCATCATGGTGCTGAAAAAAGCCAATCATAGTTATTATATTCTAACAACACATCAGCTTATGTGTGATTACGAAGCATAACAACACAAATAGCATCCATTCAAAAAAAATGTTTGAATACCATTTTTGTATTTGATCTACGAAACAATGATTTTGACAATTATAATAATGTACTATGATTTTGAACAATTGCTGTGATGGAAATGAGACATAATCACACAGATAAAGCATATTGGTTATGTAGGAATATCTTTTATTCGTCATAGGCTGAAAATTTGATACTGCTACATCTGGGTTTTTGTTTCTGGTGAATCTCAAATCTACATGTAGATCATTAATAGTTAAACACAAAAGAGCACTGCATTGACAGAATATACTGAATGCACAATTCTATATCAATCTGAAAATTTTGATATTATCTATGCCATTTGAGATAAAAATCATTTTCTTTTTACAAAACAGTGAAAAATTCATCAAAGATACTGTTTATCCTTACAAATTTTTGTGACAGATCTAAATAAAACACCGTAAAGCAGATAATAGAAACAACAATTTCTCAAATATAACTAGCTCAACCATCAACCCAGTGATACAAAAGATTGTACAAAAGTGAAAGGGCAGCTACGTGTATCTGAACATACATATAACATATAATAGTTTCATTTAGTCATGCAGGAGCGTGCTTTCTACCCAACAGCCATATAGATCAAGAAGCTTCCCACAACATCCATAATCAGACAAAACCACCCTTAACCACAAACCCAAAATAAGCATAAGAAAAGAACTAATCTAAGCATATCAGCTACAGACTTCATCCCACAAAAGTGAGAAGAAATTATGGATGAAAATGTCAATCTTAGCTCAATACAGCAAACGAGCTAGATATCAACACCAAGGACCTTTTAAAAGAACCCTCATGGCTTACAAGATAAGAAAAATAGACCTTATGTGCTATATTACAATATTTTGTACATATGTCTAACACAGATAGACATCAATCTTAGAACACAAAAAGCCACATTATACATCTTAGGGGCACTAGTACCTGTCTGCCTGGTAGTTCATGCTTAATAGATAAAATTTCAAATCAATCATCTGCTATATAACCTTTTAGCAGTGTTCGGAGGGCTTTCATTGATCAGTCCATTTGTTACAACAAAAAGGCACTATCACTAAGTGCACAAGACTGCATTCCACAGGACAATTTAATTGAGTAAATACACCCAGGAGTCTATTCTTATCTAAGATGTGCATTATGGACAACTCTTGTCTGCATTTATTATTTTTTTTCTTTGCATAATTCATAATTAAATGTCTGAAAATTTAAGATAAAATTTGATTACTCTATTTTTTGCCTTATCTGCCTTGAGTTTCTTAATGCTGGTTGTGACTGTCATCTATCCAGCTTTTTGTCACCATTTAAAATATTACCTTATAAATAAATTAATGGTTGGTGATAGAGCATCACTTATATATTGAAGTCTGAAACCCTATATATCTAAAAACACAGTATTCAATAGTCATACTAAAGACACATTATAAGTAAATGCCTAATCAATAAGAAACATAAATACAACCATAAATATATCCATTTGGCTATTTCTTATTTTTACCCTGTTTCTGAGTTTACTAGAAACCCACATTTACGACTAGCATTCACTGGTCACTGGTCTAATCAAATAAAGTATAACCAGGGTGCAGAGTAGTTTTTAGGGACACTGCCCAAATTGAGCATGACATGATAGACTAAAGAATGGGCCTCACTATGCCAGTGGTTTGTCAGAGTTCTCAGCAAAGCAAAACTATTGCCAATGTTGGCAGGTGCTTGATCTGCACCCTGTTAATTTATGGACGTAGTAAAGGAAAGTGTAACAGGCTCTTCAACTCAGGGTGATCATTTGGGACATAAAAAAAACCTTACTACATACCAAAGCCTCTGGTTTCAGCTGGAGATTGGTTAGCTCTACATTACCTACATAAATAAATAAATAATGCGAAATGATTACTAGACTGAGTATGATATAATGAAATATAAAACTGAGCATTCATTACAAGACATTATTGAATATGTACTTAAGATATTTTTATTAATATAACAGTCAATATGTGTGTGTGTGTGTGTGTTTGTGTGTGTGCGTTTAATAAAATATTTGAAACAAATTAAATGCATATCAAAAAAGCATTAAGTTTTTCTTCTAACATGCCTAATTTATCAGTACTGTGGAATTCAACAAAGAATTCACGAAAAAACTCTCAATCATCCAGTTTCAGTTTCAACTATCTCGATGCAAAATATTAAAGGTGATTTATTGCACCTTAAGAAACACATTCATCAAAGAAACTACAATCTCCACTCACCACTGAAAATGCTCAACTTAAGGTTTTGGGCATCAAGGTCCTTGATGTATTTTCCCAAGAAGCTGTTGATGACACTTGCCAAAACACCTTCAAACATATTGCCTCTAAAAGCAGAATCAAGTCATCAATGTACACTTTATGTTATCAATCTAATTTATGAAAAACTGAAAATTAGATTTGCTTATGCTCAATCAAATCTCAATTAACCAATATTCTGTGTTGTCCGTTTTCTTGGTATGAATGGTACTATGCACAGTATGCTTGTGGTAATCTGGGATGGAGGAGTCATAATGTTCTATTTGTTTTGCCTGCCTACAAGCTTAATGATTAAAATGTACTTAGCATAATCTTTTCTATAAATTTGTTTTGTATACTATTCTAAAACAATGGGTAAAACATTTTTTATACACAAATCACTGAAGGTAAACTATAGAATTCACCATTTTTTAACAAAAATCACACTGACCAGGGAAGTTATAAGTATAATATTAATCAGTAAACAACCAATGCATGCTTAAAATCTGCAATATTTACCCGCTTGATTGAAAACCCTGCTGACTCAAGTGAAACCAGTGTCCAATATGGTCACATCATACCAGCAGCTGATATGCAAAGCAAAACGTGAGTCTCTCTCGGAAAAATCAATAGACAGCAACTTGGATCAATCCTGGATTTCCAGATAAAGATTTAATACACTGTTGAAGTTGACGTCCTTCCCATTTGAAGTCTGAGCTCCCTCTCCATAAAATACTTGTTCAGCCTAGAAAAGATCAATATCCTGCAGTGGCAATTGAAAACAAAAATCTATGGTGCATCACAGTAAATATCAAATACTTAGGTTAATGATCTCTAATGAAAACTGGATTATATGTACAAAACGCAGCCCGAGATGGATCGACTAAAAGACCCAACACATCATGGTTCACATTCAGTACGAAACTCAGGACAGAAAACATGTAAATTGCAGCATAACTGAGGCTTGGCATTTATAAAGGATGAGAATACGTTTCCCGTATGACCAAACAACGGAAAATGAACACAAGGATTGAGCATTTGATATGTATCCTTGACATGTCGCTGAAACACTTCCTTATGCACTTTGTCTGGTTGAACTGCATCAGTAATGACTGAAAATCATAGTGGCCTGGTAAATAGTACAAATAATTCATGCTCAGTTTGAATCAGGGTTGCAAATTACATTTTACAAATTCTGTCTATTCCTAAAAAATAGTTCTTATCAATCATGAGTTTATCAACTGACAAATATGCTACAACAATACTTGTAATCACAGTCTCTCACTAAAGAAATTCTAGGAACTGATGACTGTAATTACTTATTAAGGTCAAGTTGAAAAAAATAACTATGAAATAAGGAGAGGAGCAAAAGGATCATCATAAAAATACCCATGAACTGGTTAATTTTTTTTCTTCTGTAAATCCTATGGTTATTTCAATAATTGTAATAAATTATTAACATGTTGAAGCAGAACACAGAAGACATGTAAATATGGCAAGGACACAAATTCCTCCATTACAATTCATCACCGGTATAGCCAAATAATTGCTATTAGATGGAGAGCTTATCTGATTATTAGATTGTTAATTGGTATAAAAATATGCTTGTTATGAAATAAGTTATTCAACAAACAAATGAGGACTCAAGTTTTTTTTTTCTAATATACCATACTGTAACTGATATCATATTATCTGCAAACTGTAATATATTTCATTCATTTTAAACATCACATACAAAACAATGATAATAAATAATTTATAATGAATCAAATTTGACAGTCCACTTAGTAACATAAATCATGAAATCCCAATAATATAACTATAATCATACTGTATCATAAATCTGCTTCATTAAGTAGGACACATACCTCTTCATATTTTCCATGTCAATAACTTTGGCAAGATCTGAGTATACAAAGTCTAAGGATATTAATGACCTATTAATTTATCCTTCTTTTGTCACATATTTACACAAAGCTGGCAAAGCAATTATGTGCACCTGGATTATCTGTGAACAACACGTCTTTACACGTAGTGACTCATTGAGCCACCAGTAGTAAGCTATTGGTGCCTGGAGAGTATTGTACTAGATAATTATGATGACTTGTATTTAATATTGATAACTGTGACACAAATGCAAGATATCATTAACAACACATTACCAAGTATTATGCACTATACTATATATCCCAGGTAACAGCCTTCAGCATTATACTCTGTTCAGTCAGTCAGCAGCATTAATTTTCAATGTCTTTCTGTGGTATGTTACACTGAACATTACTATATGTATCATGCTAAATATATCTAACAGTGCTTGTACTGAACCAGCCTGTGCCTGCTTTTAGTCTATATATCATCCACTGCTTGACTAAGAAAAAACAATTCTACAATCATACATATGATCTAGCTTAACCTTTATCAATACTAATAATAATGGCAATAATGGGTTTTAAAGACTATTCATGAACAGCTCCATAAAAATATTTACAAAAATAAATTGTAGCTATAATCTAGTTTGACTTGGTTTTACTTGAAATATCCATTGAAAGTCTGAGAAAATTAAACTAAATCACTCTTTAAACAAACAAAAACATGGCCTCCTTTGTGGGAGACTTTTTTTTCAAATAAATGTAACTTTGGAGTGACTCATATTATGGGAATGTTCTCTGCCTTACTATATACTGTATAACAAGTACAAGAAAACAGATATATTGTACACTGCAGGCAGTTGCAAAGAGCTAAGATTATTGATCTAAACGAAGCCAGGTGATGGCTATCCACAACAAACCATACTGTTAATTTGTGCACAGACACAAACTGCCCAGTTCTGTTTCCAGCCAAACCACAATCATGTTTTCATCAAATATAAAAAGTTTATTGCTTACAAATTAAGGTTGCAAGTGTAACACAGTGATGAAATCTGATTAAAGATTACAATAACATCTGAGTTTTGCAAAGAGGTCTTACACACTGGCAGTATAAATACATGAACTGATATTTAATGGCACCTGTACTGTTCTGGTTTATACAGCTATACTGTATGCATCACCAAAAAGGACTCAAGGTAAATGTGCAGATCGACTTAGGGAGCCCCACTGGTGATGATATTATACATATATTATATAATTTATGGAGCAATACATGGCCCATGACTCCCATGAGAGTCAACTGTACATGTAGTACGTCAGTGTAGGCCGAAACAATTTTTAAGTGTGGCTCAAGAAGCCGCTCTACAATTTTACATAAAATATTGGTGTATTACCTTCGTAAAGTAGTGATGTATATAAAACAACACGTTATAGATAATAGTAACGTGAAAATACGCATTTTAAACCATTGCAATCAACCTGAATAAAAAATCTTACACGGCGTACTTGTGCTTACCCGCCTTCTTTCCCTGCTGGGTTTGTTATTATCCGGGCACTTCCAGCGACCTTTGGGGACATTACTACGTCACTTTCAATATGTCTGCGCCCTTGAGGTGTCATGCATTTTTGTTATGAACTTAGATCGTAGACATACTGAGAACGAATGAACATTTTGCATTGTCATAACATTATCTGTAGTTCGCGGGCAACATGTCAGACTGCAGGTGAAACTTAATCAAATGGTTTATGTGAAGAGAAACTGTAGTGAGCTGTGATCGTGGAAGTCAACTCAAGGATAATTTATTACATTACTAGTACCAGTACTCAGTGCCAGTAGTAAGTGGGTAGTGAGATGCGTTTTCTGTGTCTAGCACGACTTAACATACGTTTAAATAATTGTAATTACTGTACGTCTAGCACAACAGTGAGTATGAAAAACGAGATGAAGGACTTAATTGTTACTCGGGCAAGTTTAAGTAGGAAGTATGAATAATTATCTTGATTATGGTTTGTTGCAGTTAACTGTCTATCTGTATGTTATTAACACAGCTGTTAACTTTTGCATTAATGATTTTTGTTTCTTTCCCCGGGCAATGCTACTTCAGTATGCAGGTTTACGTAACACTCCCTCACAAAATTGTACAAAATTGACAGGTATTATTATTAATATTGAGCTCTTTTTTTTTTTTCAGGTGTTTCATGTTGCAATGAGTGCCCTATCCTTGGCACTTAAAAGTGCCTGCACTGGTAGTAAAGTTAAATGTCCCATGGTGTTTGCTCAAAGAATAGCTGTTCCTTGCCACAGGCACAAAGTCAACAGGAGGTTTGCCCATCAGCAGAAATATGTCCCCCGCCGTGCAATGCTTTATGTTCCTGGAGACTCTGAGAAGAAAATTCACAAAATCAGCACTTTAGATGTTGACTGTGCAGTCATGGATTGCGAGGATGGGGTGGCTCTCAATAAAAAGGTGTGATACATTACAAAGAAAAGTGTGGATAATATTTCATCATGCACTCTACCATTATCTGCAAATAATTGAAGAATTATGCTCTGATGAGTACTATACCAGGCCTATTTACCAAATATTTTTGAGTGTTATTGGTTTATTTCTCTGTGATCAATGTGTCAAGTGGTGTAAGAAAGAATGGAAAATCTTAAAGCTTAAAAGTTAAATTAAGAGTAATTCTTAACTGTTACTTGCTACCTTAAATTTCAGAAAGAAGCGCGAGAAACCATTGCATCAGTGTTGTCAGAAGGAAAATATGATTTTGGCAGAACAGAGCGGGGAGTGCGCTGCAATCAAGTAACAAGTGGTTTTGCTGAGGATGATTTTAAAGTCTTGTTTGGTGCCAAAGTTGTACCAGACCTACTGTTGGTTCCAAAAGTAGATACTGTTGATGAAATGGAGTGGGTTAGGTTTATTCTTTTTATTCTATATTCAGATTAAGATTTTTTCGATAGATGTAAGATTTACATCCAGGTTTTCTAAGAACTTAATGTAGTTTAGTTTAATTCATTATATACAAGGTTACTTTTTGAGCAGAATTTTAAAAATCACTTATTGTAGCATTTTATTTTTATTTATTTCTTTTTTATTTTTTGTTATAACAGAAAAAAAGGAATACACAAAATATGCCCGACAACCCTTTCATTTAAAGCATAAACATATTAAGTGTTGTCTTTCTCTAGATTGCAGATAAATTGAAAGTCTACCTAGGAGAAAGGCAAATGGGTGCCCCTCTTAATTTAATCTTCCAAATAGAAAGTGCTATAGGACTAATCAATCTCCACCAGATAATTCTCAAAGGATTGGAAAAGTCAGAAGATGGGGTATTTCATTTGACAGGAATCATGTTTGGGTCTGATGATTTCTGTGCAAATATTGGTAAGCATTTTCATATTATTCTTTCCTTTTAATATGATCTTACCTCCTGTTATATACATGTGACATTTAATTTAATTTCATTTCCATTTCATTTCATTTCATTTTGATTTCATTTCAAGTGAGGGATAAGCCATTTAAATATTTTTAATTTTAGGTGCTAGCCGCACACTAGATGCTTATGAACTGACATATGTCAGACAGAAGATAGTTGTACATGCAAAAGCATATAATTTACAAGCAATAGATATGGTTCAAATTAATTTTAAAGGTAAGTGCTTATGTGGTTAAACACCAACGCAAGCAGCATAAAAAATAACTAAAGCCACAGGAGTTAAAGAGTTTTTCAGTTAACTTGAAAATTGTCGAAATAAGATTTCTCATTTTAAAGCACACCCATAACATTCTGTTTATTAGCAATACTGTACCTGTGACATCTCAGCCTATTTACAGTTCAATTATCTAAAACAAATGAAACTTTTTTATTTTTATTGAGTATAAAAGATTGGTAATTTCTGCCTGTTGACACTGTAGATCTTAATGCCCTACGAGAACAGTCATTGCAAGGATCTCGTATGGGATTTACTGGGAAACAAGTGATCCATCCTAACCAAGTGGCAGTGGTACAGACAGCATTTTCTCCCAGTGAGGAGCAGATTCAGTGGGCAACAGAGATGATAGAGGCATTTAATGAGCACCAGAAATCCGGAAAGGTAAAAGTTGTACATTTTTATCTTTCTCATTGTATGTGCACATGTGTGCACTCAAGTGTTAACCTGAGCTGTGCATTAGAATTTAAAACATTTGTAACCTATATGTGATATGACTTTAAGACCCCATTCCCACAGATTTTAAATCGATCTATCCCTGTGGGGAGTCTCACTAGATTACTGTCAGCTTAGCCGACTTAAGCGTCTGTCCCGCCTACTAAAAGCTGTAAGGGGGTAATTAACTGTTGTGCGTGCTTGGCTGACTGCAATTTAGCGTCAACCCCCAGGGAGTTAGGTCGATCTGGATGGATCGATCTACATCTCTGGGAATGCACTTTAAGTTGCCTTTAAAGTAACCAATATTTTGTCTTTTTTCAGGGTGCCTTTGTGTTCCGTGGAGTTATGATAGACATGCCCAGTGTGTTACAAGCCAGGAATATCGTACAACTTGTTCAAGAACTGGACTTGATTCCACCTAAACAAATTTGATTGTTATGAATTTTAATGAGATTATTTGTATTAGGTTATTTATTGTGTAGCTTGTTGGTTGCAAGGATTGTTAAAGATACAGCACAAATTGGTGGGCTCAAATTGTTACATTATTTGGCAGAAAAATATAGTTTGTTGTACATTTAAATCTGTTGTTGGACACAGTGTCAAGTTGGATCATACATGATGGCCCCCCAAGTTCTTTTCCTGAATGTATTCTGGTCACATAAATTTCAGAAACTGATGACAAAACTGGCAGGGGACAAACATTAAAGTCCAGTTTCATGTTCTGGATATTACGGATAATCACAGTCCAGACTTCCTTTGGGATGCTCTGTTCATTTATGAATGACTTCCTCACCTACCAATATAAAGCATTTGTTTCTTTTGAGAAGGGAAAGATTGAGATGCAATGGTGTTAATAAAGACAGTAGGGCTATATACATAACTAGCTATCATATGGTAATTTATTTTGTCATTAACATGCTTCTACTAATCTCCATCGAGTGGTGTGGGTAACCTCACATCTCCAGTGAAATCTGTTAATACTACATGTTCTTGTGAAAGGAATGTCATATCATTGTAAAAAGCATTAAATACTTGAATCCGAAAAAGGTTTAGAATGTAAACAAGACTATATTTTGTTTAGTTTGAAGATTGTTAATTTTAATAAACTTTTAAAAACTTTGTAAGAATAAAATTTGAAAGAGCACAAATTAGGTAGAGGATTAATATTCATGGTGGATATAGACAAGGGTCCCCCTCGCGCGCGCACACACACACACACACACACTAAAAAGATGAGGGAGAGAGAACTAGTAGGCACGAGGCTGAGATTATAAGCCTAGGTATGGATGTTTTCAGCATTTACATTTGTCATTTAATCTCTAAATATGGGAGCAGCAGTAGCATTATAAGTATTTTAAGCTCAAAAGTTTAAATTGGACTTATCCACAAGTACATCAAATGCTCTCATGTCTTTTTTCCTCAACTGCAGTGTTCTCTTGCATTGAACAGTAATGAATATTGTGTTTCAAACCTAGGCCCAAGGGATTTGCTATCATACAAAGTACTTAAAATATAATAGCTTGGTATTGCTTTGACGCTGTGACAGTTTAAGTCTGGCTCTTAGTACAAATCCAGCTGCCATCACGCTTAACATTGTTATGGAGACATTTATTCAATTTCAAAGGCAATTAATCAGCTGTAACCTCTTTTTTTCAAGTAACTGTTGCTCTCACTTTACATATAGATTAAATGTGAGATGCTATATGGAAGCTATTCAGGCTGTGACAACATTTGTTAAGAGCTGCACTTCTATTAAAATTTGTATAGTATTGTCTATTCTTGGTAATGAAATATGTAACATGAACTATATCAGTGCTGTTAAATATGATACTGGTGTTTTCCTTTTCATATCAGCATTAAAGATGTATTGTTATTTGCTTGTGATACTATACAGTTTCCAATGGGCATATCAATCTGCATTCTTTTAGCGGCTGGCCTTTTTTCATAATCGCCACTAATAAGGTGTATGGGACTTTTCAGACTCCATAATCATTCTAATAAAACTCTTAAAACTACAATACTTATTGGTAGTTCTTAATAAAGGAGAAGAGATTGAATGTAATCATTTTTCTGTGAAACTGCTTCCCATATTTATTTCAATGATATTCGAGTAAGGACATGTTATAAAATTAATATTTAATCAAGTCCAGTCTTCAGACTAGTTAAAAATATAATGAATTTCTTTAAAAACATAACTGTTATACTAAAACTGTTAATAAGACTTTAGCAGTTTTACAATTAATACTGAAAAGAAGACAAAAATCTTCAGATGCCAATACACAAGCAGGGCATCAAGTTAATATAAAGACCTTCAGAAAGTAGGAAATAAAAGATTCACAAAAATAGAAATTTTGTAGCTAATTATAGCAAGAGTATGCATTAATACTTTAAAACAAAAATGGCTCTCACTGCTCCTTCAGCCATCCAAGTCTACCTCACATTTTCTTTTGCTTGTAGTAACTTACACAATATCATAATGATTATACATGTATAAACCTTAAATAGATTAACAAATGCTGCAGCTAATTTGAAAGTTTTTGTAGCTATAACCTGCATTAACAGTTAACTATTGTTAAAAAACTCCAGAAGAAATCTTCCCAAGTTCTTCTTTAATTACACTGCATGATGTAAACAGAGTTATGGTATTAAACAAGCATAAACATTCCATTCTTTGCAAACAAGTACATTTGTATAATTTTTTGACAATAAAAAGTGACTAGTTGCGGTATTTCAACAAGCTTAACATTTTGTAAATAACAGTTGCCATTAAAATGGAACAGAAATATATTGAGTACCATTTGTTATCAATGTGACATTTTATATCATTTCATTTCCCTGGGAAATATTCGGATTCCACTTTGGGGAAGTGGTACAAAAATGACTAGAGGATCAGAGAGGTGATACCGCCTCCGGATATTGTACCACCAGCTGGAGTAAGCGCATACGTATGGAACCTCCCCCCCCTCCCAAAAAAAGGGACACCATCACCAGTCTTGTACGTGCTTGACAAGCTCTATAAAACGCAATCAACAAGAGTTCTCAAAATATGCCAAAAAATATGAATCAAAATGGTACAATCAAGCAGATTTTCGAACTGACCTGCATTTTCCTACCATTGATCACTCCTGTGATTCTCTAGACAAAAGGCCTATTGGTTTTCCTTAAAATGTGTTGTCAGTGGTGCATATATGCTGACAAAAGAGAAAACCTAGGGGCAACACCGGGCACATCTCTGCTAGTTTTGAAGATATGAGGGTCAAGAAAAATATGCAAAGCTTAGTTCATGGTGGAAAAGTAGGTCAAAGTCAATTTCAACATCATAGTATATGAATTTCTAATCAAGTTCAATAGTAACCATGGGCATTTCTTTTCAAATTTTGCAGATTTAAAGGTCAGAAAACATGCAAAAAGCAGTTCATCATAAAAATTAGGTCAAAGGACAATTTTAAGTTCACAGTAAATTGCCAGTGTATTACTTCCTATTCAAGTTCAATAGTAACTATGGACCTTTCTCTGCCAGTTTTGGAGATAAAAGGGAATGGAAATTTGCAAAGTTCAATTCATGATGAAAAGTAGGTCAAAGGTCAATTTAAAGGTCTTTTGCTTTCACCACCACAATGTGCTTTTTGATACAGCATAACTCAAAAACCGTATGGAATACAAAAAAACGGAGACCACCGTCAGTGTTGGGCTTTACATGCTCTACAAAATGCAAAAAAGAATGGGTCTCTAACATTAACGGTTCCCGAATTAGAGACAGTTTTCAGTTTCTGTATCTTATGGCCACTACTCCTGTGAAGATACACCGATTGACCCCTAATTCACAGAGATGAAAGATGACCTGAAGGGTAACACTATCCAATAATATTATTGGTTACGTCTGTGTAGTTTCTGAATATCAGCACAAATAATTTTTTTTTTCGTTAAAAATTTCGTTTTTTGAAAATTTTGCCTCATTTGACCTTGAAATGAAGGTCAAAGGTCAAATCCAAGGGCATAATTGAAATCTCCACATATGACTTTTGGTCAGCCGACTGTAGAAATTTTTCCCATAATTCCTTCCGTAGGTTAGATAATTAGCATTTAATTTTGCCATTTTTGGACAAGGGTGCATTGCAATGAGTGCCACACCTAGACCCCAGCACCGACAAAGCCCAAATTTTATGTGGAACGAGTTGAGATTATAGGTGACCTAAATCCAAGAGATGGGTATGGAGGCCCTTACCTCTTGGAGGAGAAGTGGTAACGGTAACATGGCGGCAGAGCTGCAGGAGCCGTGGAGCCGGCGAAGTCCGGCAAAACGATCCGGACGGGACTAAAACCATATGTACCGCCAGCGCCTACGCTGGTGGTACAATAATTATACTTTGCTATATGTCTCCAAAATTTCATCAAGTACTTAAAACTGATATTGAGCACTGAACAACATTTGTTACTTATCAGGAGAACAACATAATATATAAAAAATAATTTTGCAATTACTGCTGTAAGAGAAGACATCTCAAATTAAAGTAGATATAAGGATATATTTTGAAATATTAATTTTTTTCTTCTTAACATTTACATCTGATTCATCTGTCAACAATGATTAATCCATACTCTTTTCTCAACTCTTCCAATGTTTTACAAATGAATGTGCATTGATTTGTTTCAACAGACTTACCTGGTTTATGTTTTTGTGCAGCATCAATATGATACTCTGGGGTAGCGCTAGCAATTTTTTTCGCTTAGCCAAATCATCACTTTTTGTCAATTTGTTATCCAAATGGTGTTAATTTGACTAAAATGAGTCAAATCAAGCCCTTTTTGTTTAGCCAATTTAAGTCAGTTTTAGCATTTGGGTAAATTGGTGAGTGTTAGCGCTACCCCAGATACTTCAAAACATGGCAGAGGTTTTCACTGACCAAATCCAGTGAAGATGTTGGTATTACAAACCTGGTACCTGTTGACCTATAGTTTGATGGGTCCCTGCTGGTTGGCATAGTGCCATCATTGCCATGGTGTTGGTTACCATGATAACAGCAAGTTGACTTTTACCACATTGTCTTATATTACATTTTCATCTAGGTTTTAAGGCCAGATATACAAACAACTTCCACATTTTGCGTCTACGTTTTCTACTTTTCCAAATGAACACTACAAAATTATACGAAATATATTGAGTTGTGCAAAATAATAACTGAAATGATTGCTGATTTTCATTTAAGATATACTGCCTCAAACAATTTTTGATGTATTGCAGTTGTAATTGTTGAGGCAAGGCGAGTCCCTAGAAAGGATCACGGGCAAAATGGGCATAGGTGAGAGCGTAATTCTTGAACATGCACAGCTGGTTATCCACTCTTGAAAAGCCTGCAAACTCATCCCACTTCTCACACTGCATATCTTTGTGGACTCCGGCAGCTTTAGAAGCCTAAATCAAGAAATTCATGTAATCTAAAACAACAGCAAACTACTGAGAGTTTGTAACTTTTTTTTTATTATTTTGTATATATAATATGCTGGTGGCATGGTCATACATATTTTGCTTGGATAGATGAAAATAAGGTAATCCATTACCAATGCAAACCATTTCATAACTAACCCTACATTATAAAATTAATGATCAATATTTATGACAAGAGTTTTATTACTTTTTTCTCTTCCTGTGCATATTAATCAATTTTCTATATATAGTCACCTTATTGGCAAAGACTGTCAACAGGAACTTCCTAGGTTTGAAGCAGTTGAGAACATGCATGATCAAATCATGATAGTCAGCCTGGAAAAGGTTGAACACAATTAGTTACAAGAGGTCAGCGAAGGGCGAGACCACCTAAATTAAAAAACATGGGTGATTTTAAAGGGCCACTTCATGGGATTTTCCCGCCAAAATAAATTGTAAGAGGTTCTCTTCACACGTTTGAAAATCCCCAGTCATATATATATATATGTCCCAAATCAGACTCCAAAGACAAAAAAACTTTAAATTGCTTTAACTGAAGTGTACCCTGTGTGGTTATTACATATCTTCTCAGTCTCCTTGGGTAACCACTGTCAGCTTACAACATTTCAATGTATGCTTGTAATGTCCATTTTCTTTTTTGTGTGAAAGTGGGGCAAAGTGAGTGATGGCAGATGTCATTTATAATGACTGGCTAGTCATTTAAAGTGAAGTATTAAATTAAAAAAGGAAAAAAACATCGAATCCAAGTTCAAGGACAGGTCAAGCAATAATTCATGAGTAGAAAATTAATTGTTCTTTTCCCCAGGAAAATTCATTTTGAGGGGAAAGTTTCATGGAGCGGTCCTTAAATACATTTTTATTTACTTATTATATTATCTAATTCTTGCTTCTTTCATTTATTGTTCATTTTGCTATGAAGTTAGATGCATGTAGTAGCCTTAATATAAATCACCTGAGTTGTAGGTGAATTACACAGGTGCAGAGCAATGTACAAGTGGATTCCATGTCCAACATGGCCAATAGTGTTGTATCATGGGCAAACAAGACAAATAACAGTAGAGTACCATACTTGCTAATAAAAATAAGTATATCAAGTAAAAGAATAAAGAAGTTTCATTATACTCCCACAAGAAATTTTTAATGGACTATATTCAAATAGTTTGGAAAAGATTATTAAAAAAATAATGAAGCTTGAACTAATAAGTTGTTTTTAGTCCTTTATTTCATTTATAAATCATATTTCTTTGTTAACTTTTAACTATATCACTGCAAAGAAAAGGCAATGGACAGATGAGGCAACAGATTAGTGAAACAACAAATTCCCAGCATATTACTCACCTGAGGTACATTAGTTTCAAAGCTGACATATGAACACTCAGGTTCAGGTGTTATGTGGATAGTTATGTAACGTGCCTAAAATAAATAAGAACATAAATTGTGCAAATTGGTCTCTGGTACAAATCACATCTTCAAACATACAAGTATGGACTGCTTGACAATGTCAGAATGAAATTGAAGTATTTCAGTATAATATCCTTTTCACGTATGTTTTAGTGACTGTTTCCTTTTTATATGTTCACACACTGTGATATTCAAATATTTTTTTTTTCTTAGAATATAACTGATGAAGTTCTAAAACCAATAGCTTTCAATATAATATTGTTCTTAGTAAAACAGTGGATCAGTTTTTCAGTAATCACACTTCTAAACCTCACAAAATAACCATGCAAATTAAATAAGATGGCTGTGACACAGATGTATGAGTACTAAACGAACTCACTTGTTATCTAATCATAAGTCCTACACAGTTAAGATTGTAATATCAGTAATACTAACATCTGGCAAGATTCCATTCATACTGTAACCACAAGGCTCAAACAGGTAGTCATCAATTTGGGCTCCTGGGAGAAGATCTGCTATTCCAGAGTGCTGAAACATAAAATTGTTAATACTCCCCTTAAAGTTTTCTTTAGTATAGCATGACAGAGTAATAATCATTTTTATATCTGAAAGTTATTGTTACATTATTGCTACTTAATTATTCACTTCAAAATCCAAATTCAATTACTTTCAGAAAATAAATAATGTTAGGCACTTGAGTTTCCCTTGTAACCATACTTGAGCATCATACCCATAAGAATAACTGATTATTGTGTATACTTGATCCTGATTGACATTAAGCAAGTGCCACATCTTTTACAACAATTGTGCACTCAGCACATTCCGTTATGTCACACTTTGATACAAGACAAAACATGAATCAAAGTTTACAGTCAATTGATCTAGAAAATAAACTTTGTCTCTTACTGCAGTTGCCTGGGTTGCAGTCTTGCTCACTTCTGTGGTAAATATTTTCATAACCTCTGGATCCAGACCTGACAGAAGTAGGTGTGGAAGTTAAAGGAAACAGCATATATTCTTGTTTGTTTTTCATTAGCNGAACTTTTTTTTGCAAAATTTGTTTATTTATTTATTTTTTTTTTCAGCAACTTTTATCCACCTTTATTTGGATAACACGAACACTATCATAGTTTGCTTTGAAACTTGTAGGACTAATTCATAGGACTAATATACTGATCAGATTTGAAAATAAGCTTGATTGTTTCAGTTTTGGTAATGTTACCATGCCTTTTGTATGTGTGGTTTTTCCTCAGATTCAATTTTTAGGCATGTAAACAGTCTCATTGTTGAGCCAATATGATATGTAAATGTGATCTTTTGACATTTTCTGCATTTAACAATATTGTTAGTTGATATATAAAATTGATGGTAAACCTGTTATTGTGAACTGGTATTGTGTAATAGAGTGTCAAAAATGGAAATAAACTCATATCATTGCAGTTTGTCAGCTTCAATCATTCACTATGTTCATAGTCTCAGAATGGAGCAAATTCTAACTTTCATATATATGACTTTTTCTGGTCTTGAGTCATACATTTTATATTATCTTAAAACAGTTCTTGGTTTGCATGTATTTGGCTTGTTTTTAAAAGTCTTTTCTCCTTTTGAACACATGAATTGTGGACAAGGATGGCCCCAGCATGATCCACAAGCTGCACTGTAGACTGGCCTGGTCCATTGTTCACCTTGAGGACTGCACTGTGTGTCCCAGCTGCCATTGAAATTCCTTGGCATGGTGACACATTTTGGGTTTGCTGATGAATTAGTGTTAGTGGTTTACTGCTTCTACTTCTGGCTGTTACTATTAAATTGCTGAGAGAGCACGTACTGCATTTCTGTCTGTTTTGAAGCCATCATTCATATGTATAGCCTGTAGCCTTCTGCTGGCATGGGCTTGTTCCAATGGAACCATTTTGTACCCTGGCATGTGAATAACTTGCCTCTTTTACACAAGTTATGGTTCACATTGCAACATTCAATCATGGCATCAGTGGTATAGGTCAGTTTTTTATCATCATGTTCAGATTCCCAGCACCTGCCTAATATTATACAGTGAACATTTCATAGCACACTGTTGCTTAACATATCATCATCTGTTAATCAGTTTTTAATTGTCCCATTTTTAGTTGTCTAGAAAACATCCCAGAGCTCAAAGATACTTTGGCCTGTGCACATGAATTCTGTCCGAGACTGAAGTGATGGATGTCTTAAAATTTCAGTAGGAGTGGAGGGATATTACTTGTTGATGTCTGTGAGGTAGGTTGGTAGCACTTTAGTGCATGTGAATCACCATCTAAAATGCAGTAATTCACAGGTGTTGGCTCAGTGTCCTTTTGCATTTCCACCACACATGCCTTCAAGGTCGGCTTTATCACCAATGCTGGAGTTGGTGGTTGCTGTATGCTGGTTGCATAGTATGGACCCCAGTGGTCTGGACACATCTCACGGCAGGCCCGAATATAGCCAGCAATTTCAAAAGGAGGGGAGGGGAGGTTCGATGGAGTAGACCTTTTTTGTGTTAGAGAATTTAGTGTTAAAATTAAAGCTCCAAAAACTTCAAAATTGATATAAAAAAACTAAACCAGATAAAGTTATGAGATCATGCTGATGTTGAAAGCTGTATTAATTTAAAGTCAAAAACAAGAAATTTAAAAGAAACAAGTGTACGTTCAGCTTATCAAGTATTATCATAACATTACAATTAATTTAAAGCTCCATATAACATGTAGGCCTACATGACCAGGGAGGAAATCTATTTAGAACTATAACATTGTGTCATGCTTCTGTGTCTTCACTTAAGTGCAAGTTTTTCTAACCACCAGACAAATCAGCCAGAAAGTGGCAATTGGTTGGGTTCTCACAGAATACACTCATATTACTCACAGTGAATCATCTTTATGACTTTATTGAATGTGTGAAATAGTAAAGCTTTGCGTTGCGTTTTTACCGAGATACAGCCCCATGCATATTTAACCCTCGCGCAGAGAGTCCGCTTAACTTTTCAGCTGTGTGAGTGATGCATTTTCCCTCAAATTTGCTCTACAAAATGCACATGATTTGTTCAGTACATTACTTCGACCTTTACTATATTTGAAAGATTGATAAATTGAAAGATTGATAAATAATCTTTATAACAACAGAAAATTTTATCATAATTTTGTTGCTATGGTTACAAACTATCGAGGTCATTTGGGGTCAATTGATGCTTCTTTCAGATACCCACCCTACATATAGCCTAATATCTCCACTGGTAGAGCACCTTATATATTATCATTGGTATTTCCTGAGAACATAGGCATAATATGGATTAAAAATCGGCATGGACTTTTTTCCTGCACCATTGACGCAAATCTTCCTATTTACAGGCTATTTCATCGTAAAACATACCAGTCAAATCTTACTTCCCAAAGTTTCGATTTTTATCAAAGACTGTTGAAATCAGTTCCAACATGAATCAGTGCCAAAATTACAAAAATAAGCTCTGGTATCTTCTATGAATTTATTCCCAGTGTACCATGAAAAATCTGACTCCCCTAAAATGTGACTCCCCAGTCAGATTTTCATCATGAAAATGTGACTCCCCAGTCAAATTTTCATCATGAAAATGTGACTCCCCCTATGAAATTTTGACTCCCCCCCCCAAAAAAAAAAAAAAAAATTCATTAATCTCATTTTATTTGAATAAATGACTATGATCTTGTAGTATGCATAATGGAGGATACATTCGCACTTTTTTTTTGTAGTTTGCAGGTGAAAATTTTCATGAAAAATAAGAAAATTAAAAATGTGCACATAATGAAAATCTGACTCCCCAATGAAAATTTGACTCCCCCTCCACAAAACTTCATAAATATTATTTGATTTGAGTCTGTGACTATAAGCTTGTAGTATGTAAAATGGNGACTGTGATCTTGTAGTATGTAAAATGGAGGATACATTGGCACTTTTTTTTTTGTAGTTTGCAGGTGAAAATTTTCATGAAAAAATAAGAAAATTAAATGTGCACATAATGAAAATCTGACTCCCCCATGAATATTTGACTCCCCCTAATTGCAATTAACCATGTACCACAGGTAAGGCATGGAGCACTGAAATGCCTGTGGTCATTGTTTGATTGTGCCAATGTATCCACCATTTTACATACTACAAGATCACAGACATATGTTCAAAATAAAATAAGATTTATGAAGTTTTGTGGAGGGGGAGTCAAATTTTCATGGGGGGAGTCAGATTTTCATTATGAAAATCTGACTGGGGGAGTCAGATTTTCATGGGAGTCAGATTTTCATGTTACACCGGATGCAATTATATACCAAGTTGAAATGCTGGTTAACCTTGCAATCAAAACTAAGTTCGTGAAACTAGTAATGGCTGGTTCAAGTAGGAGGAAGGCGCACGCTGCAGATTTCCCGAATTTCAAGTAGCAAACAGCACATGCACTGTGCGTTGTTGTTCAGTAGACACTTACAAAGGCAAAAAAGTGGTGTGACATTCAGGAGATACGACAAAGATGTATGGGCCACCTCTCCATGCTTGAATTACGTCTAAAATAAGAGGATACTAATGCCGAAAATGGACCATGGCCTGCGTCATGCATATCACGTATGGTGTAGATCAGTTTCATCATCTTAAGCAATTTGGAGTGAACTCGACTCAGTCATCTGCCTAGCGTATAGTTACATGCTGTGGTCTTTTGGGTAGCCACAAGAACATATCAACAGTTATTTCCTTGGACCTAACGGGAGCTTTCACGCACAGTTGATCCAGTTTTTATCAAAACAATGGGAAAGTTTTCTCTCCAGAGGTCTCAGGTAATACAAATGTTTACATATATTAAACTAACATAAAACTTACATTAAACCTTTTATTATTAATGTACTCACCGAATTAATATTAGACAGAGGATTGAGAAGGATATTATGATGTTCTACTTGTTAAAATGTACTAGTTAATGTGTAGTAGTAAGATAAAGCATATAACTTCCTAGTCCCAAGTTGGATATCATAACAGTTTTAATGCATGCTGAATTGTTAATTTGATTTTGATACTTAAAATATATATGAAATAAAGCTTTGTTGTTAAACGCTGTTCATGATAAGTTTTGTCAGTTGAAAATTAAACCCATTTAATAAAATGGAGAATGAAATTTCCTTATTATTTCAGCTAGAATATGTCTGAAGACTGGTCAGAGAAAGCCAGTAAATATGACAAAGAAAATAAAGTGGTTAATCCAGGTGCTGAAAAAAAGGAAGTGTGAGGAGGATTGGCTCACTGCCAAAAGGAGTATATTGTTTTCACATTTATTTACTTGAAAAAGTATACTATCTCAGCGATACAGAAACGGCGCGACTTTGCGACATTTGACCCATAAATTTCATTATTGTCTCATAAAAACGATCGTAATGCGACAAAACATGAGGCCATTGTCGCATAAATAGCATCACCTTTGCGACCAGGAAATCAGAAAAATACGCATATAGTCAAATTTAATAAAAATCAGGAATGATCCAAACAGTTTAACAAAGTAAAAGTCGTTCAGTGAGTGCGCAATATCACCTGAAACTGAGTGGTACTCATCAGCCAATCACATCGCACCTTTCAAATTCAGTTATAGCGCTTAGCAACGCTTGCGAATTCAGCGAATCATGCTTCTTCTTGCATTCACCGCAAATTTCCTCCTCGCACATGGCGGAGCAAAGTGACAGTGAAACTGAACCTCGTGACCAGTCGGCTGCTTGTTTGCCTCGGAAACGTGTAAAACGAGTGTTCAATGAAGCTTGGAAATCTAAATGGACATGGCTAGAAAACAAAGACAACCATATGTTTTGCACACTATGTGTAAAAAGCCAAAAAAAGAACGTTTTTACCGAAGGCTGTAGCAACTTCAGAACCACGACTTTGGAGCGGCATGCTTCAGCAGCTGACCATCGCCAGTCGGTACAAGATGAAATCTCAAGGTCAACTCTATCGAGAATGGTAAAAAATCAGTTTAGTGAGAACGACAGTGCCATAATCCATGCTCTACGAACAATATATTTCTTGGCAAAGCAGGACATAGCAACATCCAAGTACCCAGATTTTGTTGATTTTTTGATACAGCAAGGCTGCAGTGATCTTGCGCCAATTGCAAAAAGCTACCAATCCTACACTATTACCAAAGACTTTCAAGAGAGTATATACGAAGTGATTCTCCGAGATATGAGAAAAAAGCTGACAGATGCAGACTATATCTCTGTGCTTTGTGATGAATCATGTGACATTACTAGTACAAAAAAACTGAGTGTGTATGCGAGGATATCATCAGGCTGTAAACCAGAGACCATTTTCTTAGAGAATTGTGAAATACTGGATGGGAAAGCAGACACCATTGCAACATCTGTCAAAAATCTCCTGACAAAGTTTGAAGTGCCGCCTGATAAGGTAGTAGGACTAGGAAGTGACGGTGCATCGGTCAGTATTGCATAAAATTATCAAGAAACAATAAATAAAAAACAACTGGTGTGAAGTTGATAAATAGAATAAATTAAATAATGTACTGGATATATAATATATTACAAGGAAACAATAAATAGAATAAATATTTGAAATTTCATTCATTAATTTTATTTAGTCAGGATTATAATTATTACTGTCAGTCTGTTATATTTATGAAAAATTCCAAAATATTAAATAGTTTGGAAACTTTTTAATAATGAAAAATATTAATAGTTCCAATTTTTTCTAAAATATTGGTTTGTTCATCAGATGTTGATATGGAAAAATTAATTTCAATCTTTATCTCATCAGGTTATGACCGGAAAACACAATGGAGTCGGTACAAGACTAAAAAGAGAAACAAATCCACAGCTCATTCAACTGCACTGCATTGCTCACCAACTTGCACTCGTGTCTAGCCAAGCAGCCAATGGAGTGCCATATTTGAAGACCTACCAGGAGTTCATGACAAATATCTACTACTGGTTCAAACACTCCGCCAAGCGCATTAGTGGACTGGCTTCTCTACAGGATGTATTAGATGCTCCCAAGATCAGGATAAAGGAAGTACATTCTGTCCGTTGGTTTAGCTTTTATAACAGTCTAGATGCTTTGTATCGCTCTTGGCAATCTTTGGCAATGTTGTTTGAGCAACAGGTTGCTGAAAACGGCAATCCACAGTCTAAAGGTTTCTTGAAAACCATGGCAACATCACAGTTTCTTCTTGTGACAAGCTGTCTTATGGATATCATCCCTATAATTACACATCTAAACATGATATTCCAAAAAGAAAATCTGGATTTGGCTGTTGTATCCCCAGCTGTTCGTGGTGTGAAAAATCAACTGCAGGAATTGCTACAGACACCTGGAGCTCATGAACAGGCTACAAAAGAAGATCTTGGAGAAACCTCTCAGTCAGAGTCCTACTACAAAGGTGTGAAAATTAGAGACACTACACAACTGAGGAATGGTGCAGACTCTGCGAAAACTTCCTTTATCAACAATCTCCTGGAAGAACTTGATAAGCGGTTTCCAGATAATGACCAGTCAGTGGTTTCTGCCCTATCAGTTTTAGGTCTCAGAGGCATCAGGTTTCAAAATCAGGATGCCCAAGCTGCTTTTGGAAATAAGGAATTGGACGTTGTCATTAAACATTACGAGGACAAGTATGTTGATGGCAATGTGGTCAAACAGGAATGGGCAATACTGAAGGAATTGGTCCTGGCAAACACTTACAGTTGTGACAGTATGAAAGAACTCTGGGAAATTATCAACGCATTTCATAAGGAGAATTTCCCTAACTTGTGCAAATTGGCTGGCATAGCACTTGCCCTCCCAGTGCATACTGCAGACGTAGAACGTGGCTTTAGTGCTCAAAATATAATCAAATCTAGCCTTAGAAACAGACTGATCAGTGAAAACTTACAAATGTTGATCGCCATAAAACTTAATGGCCCCCTTTCTCAGGATTTTGACTTTAGAAGTGCTCTAAGTGTGTTTAAAACAAAACGTCAAAGGCATTTCTCATGAATATTGATGTAAGAGACAATAATGACATTTGTGGTGTAATGACATTACTTTATTGACATTACTACATTGACATGACATTAATAATGGCACTTCTGGTAATCATGCCTAAGAGTGTTTCAAAGAGCAAATGTTTTTTTTTTTTTTTTTTAAAGAATAAAACTTGTTTTATGGAAACAAAAAATGTTGTTTATGATGTGTCCCTTGTTTTGAACCTTGTGTCTCATATTTTTATGAAACAGGAGACACATGTCTCTCTTTTCACATAAGGTTTCTGTATCACTGCTATCTACGGTTGGAAGACACAATGACCAGATAGATAAAGCATTTTTCAGTCATGGAGTAACAAAAAGAGTCCCTAGAAAGTGCAGCAATTTATTGGAACTTCATCAGAATTTGAGAGCTGATACATTTTGATTAACTTTTCAATAAAGGAGATTTTTGTCTTGTTTCATTTCATTGAAGATATTCATGAATGCAACCTTTAATTGAACATATGTTACTAAAACGCTGATAATGGATATCAATATTTTAATCTTTCAAGCAAAGATCAGTATGACATATTTTGTAGCAATTCATCGCCCTGGTCTTGAGTACTGGTAGTGCAAAACAATCCAGGGTGTATGATGGCATGATACAAGTTCTTTTCGCATCAATTTTCATTTTTCTCTTAAAGGGCAAAAAATTAAGTGGATTTTTTGAAGTTCTGTTGGTTTGATGTGTTTGTATAAAAAAAAACAAACAAGTGTTTCTGTCTTTATCTTTAGTTGAAAAAAATATCTAAAAATTTTCATGAGTCAAAACTTTGCATGTTTTCTTATTCACTTAAGGAAACAAGAGCACTATTATGGGAATGTCAGTTAAAATGACTTCTACCTATAGATAACCTATAGAGATTATGGTTATAAGTATTTTTTGTATGTAGTTTCGGTCATTATACTTTCAAGTAATTCACTTATTTATACGTACATATCCCATGAAAATGATGATTATGTATTGTAGAATGAATAGTTAGTTGATTGATTGATGCCCATTTGTGTTCAATATTATTTGCTGAAGAAGTGATTGATTGATGCCCATTTGTGTTCACTTTTATTTGTTGAAGAAGTAATCTATTTTTGATAATAAGTAGACTACCTGTACTACATGTACAATGTAATCTGAAGTTTCTGTGAACTTGTTGAAGGACATTCACTTTCTCTATAAAATAATAACATATATAAAAACGTGGGTTGTTTGTTGTTTTCTCTTCTCAATTCACAAAGATTCTAGACTAATCTTATTTTTAATTAATTTTGTATGCTATAGCATTATAGAAAATGCACTGCTGCATAGTTGAACAATGGCAATATAAGCACTTGAGCAAAGGATAGACACTTGTCGGTTGAAAAGGGTTAACATCTTGACCGGTGCTACATAAATTTCAGTAACAAATGACCAAAATATAAGAATGGACGTTTAAATTTTCAAAAGTAGGCTTTGATAGAGGGACATTACCTTCTTTTGTAAAGTATACTGTTTAAATTTGCCGTGATTAGAGGAAGTGAGCATTTACTGGCCAAGACAAGAGCAACACCAATCTAAATTCTTACATTTTCAGACATCAATATATCCCCAACAAAATAAAAGTCCACGAATATCTCTTTTGTATTTTATCACCCTAATGTTCCTTTATAAACACATGTAGGTTTTACAGTCATAGGACCTCTACCAGTGGGTATATGACTCTTTGAAAATCGCCATGCTCAAATATGATTTTAGGGGGTGGGGTGCAAAATGTGGGTACAGTGTGGACTAGGTGGGTGATATTTTTTGTTTGAATGTCTTAGGAAGGTGAATATTGATTGACAAAAAATATCATATAGGAATATTGTAAATATATAGCTAGATAAAGGGGAAATAAGCATATATATGAGTTGCATAGCTGCTGACTGAAAATCTGCTTCGAAAGCCGGAAAAAATCGAAAATTGGGCATAAATCCTTTGAAATACGGTTTTTGGAGCCTAACGTTTGGCAGAAGTTAATAGGGTCCTCAGGCAAGTATTTAAGCCCAATAAGGTCAAATTCAGTGAACCCTCACCTTGCTGCACTTGTTTGGTGCTTAAAAAACTGGCACTTAATCTCAAAGATGACTTGATGTGTGTGTCTGTATGTGTGTGTGTCGATCTGTATGTATGAGCAAGACATGCAGAGATAGAATTTATACATCTTGTCATGCTACGTTGCCTTCACACAATCTCAGTGATGAGTTCGTATGTGCGTGTCTGCAGGTGTGTGTATGAATGCAGTCACGCATGAGCTGAACATGTGCCTGTGCAAACAAATATCTATTGATACCCCATTAGCCTGCTTAAAAAATTTAAAATAATATCTATCGGTGTGTACGCGTGTCTGTAAGTGTGCAGTTCAGCATCGATCTTCTCTTTAAAACACCGATTCTCTGCTGTTTATGCATGACTACGATGAAACTTCAAAAACGAGATATTAATTAATTGTCTACCTGCGTTCCCAGAGTAAGCCCCGACAATTAACTTGTACTTAGCTTTCTCTGACGCTATAGCAAAGTTGTCGTAACGGGCGTAGCGCCAAACACCATTTGCGTCTTCCATATCAACACGCAGCTCGTATCGCTTTTGGTTAGTGATGGTGTTAATTTGTTCATTCCCTGTAGAAAAAATGTAAAATATGTTTCAATCTTTTAATTCAGTTGTTTATCCATTTGTCAAAAAGGACCGAAAATATATTTATACTTAAAATAACGTTGAATCAGTAAACTTTCAATAGAGTCCAAATGATACAAAATACACGATACACACAATATTTATATTCTGTACAGTGTCAACAGTTTTTGAAAATCTGCAACATATTTTCTTCACTCTCAGTGTAATTGATAGCAATATCTAACTGTAGGACAGAATACAAATGAAATAAAAGAAAATATTTATCATAATCCACTTAATGCAACTTTTCATTCAAATGACATTTCTCCTCAGGTTTCTGCATCTCTATAAAAGCTTTATATTGCTCGATGAACTTCACGAATGTTTAAAAATGTCTCATTACCTAACCAGTGTTCCCCGTTCAGGTTTCCGAATCCATGCTTATAAGATTGCCAGCCACGATAGAAGTTCACGGAACCGTCCATACGCTTCTGGAACAACTAAAAATATACAAAATACTTAACAAAATATTTTGTCCAATAACAGGGAAAGGCACTGGATTCAAGAAAAAAGTGTCTAACGGCTTTAGAGAAAAATTTGGCGCTCCTTTAACCTGAGAAATGGCCAGACCCCAACAAACCACCCAAAAAACGGAAAATCCTTATGAATCACATCTAAAATATATGATAATTTTACACATGAAAATTAATCTAAGTTTATTGAAATAAACAAAACCATACCGTCCATCCTCCACCGTCAGTGGTCATGTCACAGTAGACGTTAAATGCGCTCGGACTGTTATCTGGTGTTATGGTATACACCCCGTTCAACTTCACGCCGTTCTTGTACAAATCAGCGCAGTCCCGAACACTTAATGTGTAATGACACATTAGCATATTTCGTTTTATTTGTACTATCACTGTAATTTGTTTGCGCTATATCATGTTGACATATGCCTTAAAACGAGTAAATGTCTCTATTGCTGTCAGCATCCAGCATGTATCATTTGTAATACAGGGTTACCACTTAACATGGAATATTATTTTTTTGGCGAGTAAATTTTCTACAAAATATTTATTTTCTCTCTAACTATTTTAAATCCAAAGCTAATGTGTCTCTCCATGTGTAGCCAGGTGTGTTACCATATTACCACACAACTCTCGAAACAATTGATGCATGCAGTTGTATGTTCTGTAAATGCAAATTCTGCCTTTGTATAAAAACGCATGGGTTTGGTCGATCTTTGGAGTGTGTTTAGAGAAGCAACAAAGGGATCGCTCTGAAACTTGAAAGGTACCTTAGTGAAGATATGGTTCGACAGCTAAGCAACGCAGCTTACTATGGGATTCTTACTCTCAGAGAAAATGGCCAGAAACGGACAGTCATTGCCAGGTAATTCAACATTTATCAGGAACTGCTTGTAAAGTCCTCCAAAGAAATGCGGCATCAGGGACACCTACTCCAATACCTCGACCAGGGTGTCTGCGTATCACACCAAGAAGACAGGATCGCCTTCTCCTTAGAGGACGCCGTGCTGGTCGTACAAATACAACCAGTGTCCTCAGAAAAGAGAGGCAGAATGTCATTTAAACACCCTTGTCAAGGTCCCTCGTGCAGAAAACTGTATGTTTTTATCACTTAGTAACATACTTTTTTGATGAATCAAGCCAAACAAAATTTAATCAGCACTCAAAAATAACAATGATAAAAAATATTCCATATTAAATAGCAACCCTGTATGTGATCTCATTATGGGGAGTCTGTGAAATAAACAGAAATGCGTCTAAATATTTCCCACACATTATAAAATAAAATATATTGACTTGAATTGAATAAAAGCCGCCATTTGTAGAAAATTGCAACTTACCACCTTGCTTTTCTGCGGTGAAGTTTGCTAATTTCACTTGTAAATTTGTTGTCGACTGTAACAATTTAGAATATTTATCCATCAGATCATCGTATCTGCCTTCCAAGCGTTTCAGCTGATCATCGTGCCTGTCTTCCAAGCGTTTCAGGTCATTCTTCAGGATGTCAAGCAGGATGGATGTTACTGAACACCGAGATTGGGATGTGGCTTGCACATCTCTGCGTTTGATGCTACAAGAAAAAAGTCATTTTAATGAAGCCATATATACTTTGAATGCAACTTCACATTAGAGGCATTTATTTTGTCTGTGTGACTGTCCTTTTAAAATTGATGGGTTTTTTGATCTGGAAAAATATTCATCAAAGAAAATCATTTATCATAATGATTCTTTTTCATCATGAGAAAAAATGTTATTGATTAGCTTGCCATTTTGACAGTACCTCCTATTTTGAAAAATTTCAAATCTTTTTAAAGAAAAATTGTTAATAAATATCGATATTGTAGATGTGAAGGAAAGTTTAGACAGTAACCTGTTAAGCAACCTGATATTAAATATTAATAAAAATCATTGAAAATATTTGCTAATTGCTAATATGCAACTCATTATAATGAAATATAATCACTAAGAAGAAACGATTAAATGCAGCACTTACTCATACGTTTGAATTCCAAGAGTAACGTCAAAAACACAGAGTAAAACCACGATATACTTGTAGGCCAACTCCATTGCTCTTTACGGCATATGTATCCAACAAAAGAATGCAATTCTATTCTTAGCAGCGATATATAAAGATAATCTAGTCACGCCAAACGCGTCATTTCGATTTGACACAAAATTTCTGAAGGCGTATGAAATAATAATGGTGATTACGCATGCGCGAATTTCCCAGAAATCAGCTGTGGGTCAGAAATAAGGAGCGGCAGAACAGACGTAGAAAAAATGATAATTGATAATTTCGTAATATCTAGTTTCTATGTAACCGTAGTAGAAGTAACAACGCTGGTTGATCATCATGAGAAGATATTAATTCTATTAAAAAAAAGGTTTGCAGCGTGTCATTATTCGATAAATTCATCATTTTCTCTAGTAGACTAAATGCTAAGAAACTTTCCGAACACAGGTCTCATATATACTTTCATGTTAAAACACAAAGTTGAACCCAGATGTTCCACATCAATATACACTGGTAGTTTCTTTTGTTTAGGGATGTCACAAGGAAGAAAAAATTCCCTTTCTTCCATGGACAAATGTAAAACGGCAGACCATGACAGTTTTACTTTTCACTGTACGGGAAAAATTTAAAACGAAAGACGCTGACAATTAACAGTACAGTGAAATATATTATAGTAAGAAAGTATAATAGTTGGCAGCTTTCGCTTGACTACCGCCACTCTCTCTCTCTCTTTTTCTCAACTAAGGACCCTGCCATATATTACCAACCAGTCACAAAACTAGCTTCATTAACTTTAGACGCTGAAAAAGGACGTCCCCCCCCCCTCCACTCCTCCATTCACTTTTATAATATCTAGGTATTACTGGCTCCCGGAATTGCCATTCTGATAGAAATCTTTATGAACATCACGTACTACGTTGGCGGTGTAGTGTTACCCATCACTTAAAACAACAACACAGGTGTGGGTTGGAAGCTTTTTATTATAGCTTCGAAACTACGCTACGTCACTACATCTACAGTAATAAAATAATTAACAAAATCTCAATAATCCAGTCCTAGGGACGCACCCCAGCGCCCTAGATGTGAGATAACCGGGTAAAGAGGAAATTTACATTAGTTCTTTAGTGAACATGCTATTTATAATAAATAATAAGTGATGAAAGTTGCAGGGAGGTGGGTGGGAGAAAACCTCGCCATGTTAAGTAAAGCACGTCTGCTCTGCATAGAGGCTTGCAACTGACTGAATTAAATCACTCAATGACCGGAAGACGAGGCTTAAGTGCCCCGGACGCAGTGACGTAACGTAGTTGTCTCCACCTGTGTGTGTTTTAAATAGGACTTAAAACATAAGTCCTCACTTAAAACAACAACACAGGTGTGGGTTGGAAGCTTTTTATTATAGCTTCGAAACTACGCTACGTCACTACATCTACAGTAATAAAATAATTAACAAAATCTCAATAATCCAGTCCTAGGGACGCACCCCAGCGCCCTAGATGTGAGATAACCGGGTAAAGAGGAAATTTACATTAGTTCTTTAGTGAACATGCTATTTATAATAAATAATAAGTGATGAAAGTTGCAGGGAGGTGGGTGGGAGAAAACCTCGCCATGTTAAGTAAAGCACGTCTGCTCTGCATAGAGGCTTGCAACTGACTGAATTAAATCACTCAATGACCGGAAGACGAGGCTTAAGTGCCCCGGACGCAGTGACGTAACGTAGTTGTCTCCACCTGTGTGTGTTTTAAATAGGACTTAAAACATAAGTCCTTACTTAAAACAACAACACAGGTGTGGGTTGGAAGCTTTTTATTATAGCTTCGAAACTACGCTACGTCACTACATCTACAGTAATAAAATAATTAACAAAATCTCAATAATCCAGTCCTAGGGACGCACCCATCCATAGTTAGGTTTAGAGTTTGGTATAGTGAGTAGAGATAGAAATAGGGTCTGGTACGATATATTGAAAAACCGAGTCACTTTTCCAGTCCCCTATTGCTTTTATTATTGACAATGGCACTCCAGTAGACGCGAGCCATGTAGCCCCACCCCGTCGCAGGCTGTGGGTATTGTACATGGTTTCTGAAAGTCCAATGGTGGATAGCGCAGTCTTCAAGGAAGACCTGAAAAATCGCTCACTAAGTTTCAATTCCTGTCCATCAAGAATCATGTTGAATAAAGGTGAGTCTGTCGATGAAGGTCCGGCCAACGCGAGGAAGGACAGTAACGCTGTAGTTGGGTACAACGGATTGTTTGTAAGTCTTGGGAGGGCGACGGTATGGGTTCTTTGTTGAAATTGAATTGTTTTTGATTTCTTAATTTTCAATGACAGTTCCGGACTTGTGGAATCTTACGTCACATCTTCGGATAGACTTACAGTCTTCCTGTCCAGTGCACGTTAAGTTGCTCACGCGAAGCAAACCGAAAAACCCTGTGAGTAGTGCGGCCCAGAAGCGACAATCTTGTGGTTGAGAAAAGTTTAACGTGCTGTGGATTTTTAGTAGGTGCGCGGGTAGCAGAGGTAATTTTGAGGCCGTAGTGTCGCCTTTACTTCTTTTGACGCCTTTCAACAGTGAAGTGATGGTCCAGTTTGAATTTAGTGGGTTGGGATATTCCTTATCCAAATGCAGAATTCTGATGATATTAACATACTGCTGTACTGTTTTGAATGACTTGTCCCTGGCTAGGAATGCGACGTATCTAGCTATGGTATTATTGCTGGCGGGTACTGACGGCACGCCGATTCTTTCACAAAAACTAACGAAGCTGCGCTCATGGGAAGCATTTGTCCTCTTGGTAGCCGGAGCCCACCTCTGCTCAATAAGTAGGGCTACCTCCCTGTCCAATTGCTCAGCGAAACCGTCCAATTGTTTATCTGCGGAAATAAATAGTTTAAGGTGAGGTGAGATACGTGGTTGTTTAGAAGATAATAATCTGGCATATAGTAACCACTCTTGCGGACGGATTGGATAAAGCGATTTATTTGACCCCTTTCATGAAGACGGCTTAAAGCGTCAGCTGTGATGTTAAATTTGCCGGGGAGGAACTTGGCTTCTATACTAAAATTAAATGAGATAGCAAGTGATGCAAGATGTTCAAGTAAAGCAAAGGCTGTCTTTGATGGGGTAGAACCATTATTAATAATGCCTGCTGTAGCAATATTGTCAGTTAAAACGAGCACTTTATGATTGGCCCATTTTCTATGCCATCGGTAAGCAGCCCATAAGACGATCGCAAGCTCCTTTATGTTGATGTGCTCATTTTCCAGGGGCGGCAAATCTAGTCCCCAAGCACAGTAAGTCCAGTCGCCCTCGCAGAATGCTCCGCCACCTGTGATGCAAGCGTCAGTTTGTACTAACGCCGGGGGGCGACTGTCCCAGATAGCCATCCGGCTATTGTTAAGCAGATGATAATGCCACCAAGCTATGTCCTGCTGGACACCAAACAATAAGCTTTTATGCCGCGGTGAAGCTGTTGTATTAATTAAGTCATATATCCGTCTTATATGCAGTTTCCCCCACGGGATTACATGACTGGCCCAGGCTAAGTGTCCTGCTAGTTTTTCTAGTTGTTTTCGCGACGCTCGCTTCCTATGACTAAAGCTCTGAAGTAGCTGGAGAAGGTTAGACTGCTTATTCGGGTCAAGGGACATTAAACCGGAGAGAGTGTTGATCTCTATCCCCAAGAATGTCAACTTTTGGCACGGGTCGACCACCTTCTTCCAGTTTATTTGAAATCCCAATGTACGCAATAGTTTCAATAGTGTTTGGTATGCGTCGCTGCATTCTTCTTTGGTCGCGCCTGCAACCAGGAAATCATCTAAATAAGCAACTACCACTGGGAAGCCCTTTTTCTCCATCATTCTGCGCACTGATTGAGTGAGTCTGTTGAAGATACTTGGACTCTTTCTCCCCCCAAACGGCAAGCGCGTATCAATGATTGTAGTTTCTGTATTGTCGTTGGAAAAAGTCCATCTTAATCCCATGAATTTTAGATTGCTAGGATGAAGGTTCACGGAGCGATACGCTTGAGACAAGTCCACTTTAGCTAAATACCACCCGGGGTAAATGTTACGAATAACATCCTGAACTGATTGATATGTGACTCCCTCATTTGTGGCATAATCATTAACACTGAGCCCTTCAGGGCGACTACAGTCATGAATAATGCGGATATCCCCATCTTGTTTTGGGACAGCGTGTATTGCACTAATAATATGCGGTGTATCATCTACAATTTTGTAGTGTCCTTCTTGAATGCCTTCTTTAAGTTTTTTGTCAATCAGATGTGCTGATTGATATGTTGATTTTGAGTTTTTAACAGTTACTCTTTTTGGCACAATTTTTTCACTATCCACTATAGAAAAACCATTAATAATGCCGTTTAAAATGAAGTCTCTATCATTGTCTGAACCGAGTTCCCGCTCCCAATTTTCAAGTTTTGCTTTGAGCGGAGACTCAAAAATGTCATTAGTTTCTAGTTTTTTGTTTCTGTGATCATGGAGCTCTTGTGTTCAAATTCACCGTGGGACGTTGATGAGCATTTAAAGCAAGCATGGGTGAACCTGCAAAACCTGAGGGTGCAGCCATTACGGCCATTAAAACGTTCACAAATAGGCCTGCCTGTATGGTCATTCTTTGGTTTGTTGCTATTTTGTCTGTTTTGTTTGGGGCGTAATAAAAGCTGCATGAGGTAGGTGTCATCCTGGGACCATTCTATTTCATCGTTAGCTTGCTTTTTCCTGAATTGATAGTCATAAGTGACCACACTGTCCCACTCAAAAGTTTGTGCAAACGTGCTGATTTTAATGAGATAGCTCATGTAATTCATAAGAGACTGAGTGCCGGCCTTATCAACGTTGATGATCTCTTTTCCAATACGGAGTGCCCCTTCCATGTACTGCGCCTGTGATAGTCGGTTTAGTGGGATTTTGCTGTCCTTAACCGTTACAAGGAATGAGCCCATGTCTACTGCGTCTCTCTGTGTTGATCCAGGGACAAGGGAGACGTAATCTCTGACGTCTCGGAAGGGGGGCTTTTTAGGTGGTATCAAAGAAGAAAGTGTGTTAAGTTCTCTCTCACCTTCGGTGTTTTCATAGCTGCTTTTTGGTGTTGCTGTTGTTGGTTTTTCACTCGCCTTTAATGCTTCCCCCATGATGCTCATAATATCTGCTATAGAGAGCGAGTCCCCCGAGTCCAGTTTCTGTTGCAAATTTCCCGTCGTGGTGGCTTCTGCATTGTGTGGTATAGTTGGGGTGTCCTTTAACTCTTGCACAGCTTCTTGCAATAGCAGTCTTTGGGCAGGCTGCAGGGAGGAAAAAAGTCTTTCTACTTTCTTACTATTCAGCGTGCAGATGGCTCTCTTGCTAGTAAACCCATTCTCTCTCAGAGCGTTGATAGTTTCCTCTGATAACTCGTTTGATAAGCCCCAGTCATGCAGAGAAAACCTCGCCATGTTAAGTAAAGCACGTCTGCTCTGCATAGAGGCTTGCAACTGACTGAATTAAATCACTCAATGACCGGAAGACGAGGCTTAAGTGCCCCGGACGCAGCGACGTAACGTAGTTGTCTCCACCTGTGTGTGTTTTAAATAGGACTTAAAACATAAGTCCTTACAACACTATAACAGGGCCAGGAGATAAAGGCAGTGGCGGTGTACGTTTACAGTTTAGGAAATCTTTTGTGTGCTCAGATGATGTTTGAGTCTAAATCAACGATGCAAAAAGGCATCGGCAGATTTCAGATATGAAGAACTGAGGGGGGAGAAGTCAAATGGTCTCACCCTACCTCCCTCCCTCACTCCTTCCCAGCCTGTTATATATCACCTATGAGAGTCTATTGGCGAGGAGCAAGGCTTTCCCCAGAGAGCCCTCAGGCCGTCATTTGGACGGCCACTGGCCTAAGAAGATGGACTTTATTTTCAAAAGTCGTAACACGGCTTGAGAAATTATTGGGAATGATAGTATATTTGTATTTGTACTCCCTGTTAAGCAGTGACTAAATTGGACATCAGCATTTTGGACTACCTGTACCCCAAGTCCTGGGAAAGCCCCTGGACAGAGATGTCACTTTTCATTAAGGAAGAAAAGAGAAAATATTCAATCAGAGGAGGAGAACCCAGGTCATCGGTTAAATTATCAGAATCACTTCAAGTATAGGTAAAAAGCGCAACTGTATTTAATAAGAAATATTACTGACATCCCCATCCAATGGGAACTACATGTGCATACACTATCCCCCTACCTTTCCCCAACCCCTGAAAATATTCACAAGTTTTATTGTGCGCGGCTGTTAAGTATAAAAATCTTGTATTTATATGCACTATTGAATGAGCCACATCACTTATAAAATCTCCTACCTGAAATTTGTATTAGCATAAGGTACTATAAAATACAAGTACAATTTTCTTTTACCTTCAGCCATTTTGAACCTTTCAATTGGAATATTGAGCAACAAACATTGAAAATAAAAACTTAAGACTTCAAAATATACATTAAAGGANAGGACGTTTTTTAAAGCCAAAAATTTACAAAATGAGCTTTTAATTTGTGTATTTGGATAAAGATATCGTTAGTTGGGCATGTTTTCTGAAGAATATGTTCCGTTCAGGCCATTCTGACGGCATGAAGCAAACCCTTTAAATAAAAGGAGTAGACTCCATGAATGCAACATTTTTGTAAATGCAAAAGGTAAATTTTACAGTGGAATAACACAAAGGCATATATAATCCAAGATATTTTACTTGTATTTTGTTTTCTTTGACAAAATTACAACGCAGCAGCAACTACATCTCCTTAGCCACTACCAACAGAGGCAGATGTAAAGCCGACGGGACGAACTTTCATCTCCGTTGTCTTCAGGGAGTGGTGGTACCCTTTAAATGTCTTCCAGTTAACACCGTCACCGTATGAGCTGTGATGACCCAGGTGGTACAGGCCGTTCAGATTGGAATCGTGACAGCGTTCATACCACCAGGCTCCCTTGTACTGCTGTGCACAATTCTGGCTGGTAAGTGCATCGTTATTCCTGTCCTTTGTGGTGAAAGGGTAACCTCTGTGAAGACTCAGTGAATCCCCTAAACACAAAATACGAGATGAGTTACAGAGTCTTATGAAATGAGAATATACCTTGTACAGGGGTAATGTACTTAGTTCATTATGTTTTCAAACAAAAAAGGTTCATATATCGCCCAGCATATACGTAGAAATTGATTTTTTTCTACAGGACCGCAATGCTCGAGAGAACAAAAACAGTGAACTAAGACACGGTTGGAACATATTGTGATAGTGGTTTCTCAGTAGGCATAGTGACGTTGGCTCAACGTTGAAAACGGGTTGGGCCGTTGAACTACCTAAATTCAATGTTGAATCAATGTTGATCCAGCTACATCAAAACGCTGTCATATAGGCCTATAATGTGACGTTGATTCAACGTTGTATTTTGCTCGTCGTGATGCTAGACATGGATTGTAATTTAAAATATGTTGTATCGATGTAAATTCTGTATAAAAAAGGTGATACGTTGTTTATATGAAGGTCTATATATGGCATAATGTATCAAAATGAATTTACGGCAGCTGCATGGTATATATGATGCCATAGGTAATAATTAGTTGTAGCCTATTAACATCAATAGCAGTGCCGCATTATCCACCTCAGGCTTGTTTAACATTAAAACATACATTTACAACAGTCCTGGCCAATCTTGCGCGGTGCAAATTGTACAATCTTCAGGCTATCGTTACCGAAATAACCGGCGTGTGATGAAAGCTTCAATATCTATTAAAATGAATACCCCACCATCATCCTGATGTTCTATTGTTTATTACTTTCGGGAAAGATTAAATAGACATCAATACTGTAACTAACTTTATCAAAATATAAATAATGGTGCTTCAAAGGTGTCTATAGTGAACTAGCGAATTTCACTTGTATTTCAGAAATATATTCTACTAAACATCCTAGCAAGGTCAGCTAACACAAGGATAACTGAGTCGTGTTAAAATGTGTGTGAGTAAAATTAATGATGTTGATAGTTAACAGTATCCTGTTATAGATCGTTATATAGATTAACATAGCAGGCTGAAGTGACCGTAACTTTCTTATAGATAGATAAATAGATAGATAGCTAAACCCTTGAAATTCTCACCTAAAAGCCAAACGTAAACACCCTACATATATTCAGCCGTCAAACACGTCATACTGCTTAACACATTCAGGCTAAAAGCGTGTTACATACTTAGGATCAAAACGTGCTTAGGAGCTTAATGCGTTGAAAAAATAAGACAAAACAGGACCTTGAAATGTGCTTAGGAGCTAAACGTTTTTTTTTTTTTTTTTTTTTTTTTTTTTTTTTTTTTTTT